CAGCCGTTGCTCCATCGTGCAGTTGGTGCGGCATGCTTCGGGAAGTCGCCAGGAGCTCCATTCTGGGAAGGCACGTTCGTCCGTGAGTGTGGCAACTGCCAGTCTTGGCATCGAAGGCGCCCTGCATGTGGCAGCCTGGCATCCCCGCGAGTCTTGCAGACTAAGTCCTTGCAGGACCTGCAAGCCTCGCGGGACTTGCACCTGCTCCTCTGCGCGCGCTCGGGGAGGCGAGGCGGAGCGAGCGCCGGCTCCGCCCCGCGCGTGCGCGGTTGGGCGCCCCCTGACGAGGGCGGCGGTGGGGCCGCGGCCCCTCGGAGAGGATACGCGCATCTCCTTGTGGGTTGTGATGTTCCAACCTGCTCGAGCCTCGATCGCCAGAGAGAATTTCGAGCACAGAAAAAAAGATACCGAAGCTCGAGGGTTGTTTCGCGTGTCGGGCCCTGGGCGGCGCTCGCCCGACACTGTCTCGCCACTCCTTTCTTGACTCTTTCGACGATTGTCCGGGTGCTCGAACTTATTTCTGGGATGAGGTGCTTAAGTAAGATGGGAGCAACATAACGTTTGGGCTCATGCGGTCTCCTCCAGGGCCCCCTGGCAGAGTTCCGGGTCCCAGAAGCAAAGCCTTGTAACTCCGTTTGTTCTGGTTGCCGTTGGCTACATGCCGTGCCCCTTCTGAGAAGGTGCTTTCCCTTCATCCTTGTGACAGGTGCATTTTTGCGTCGAATGCGCCCAGCGCTGGGCCAGAGCCCCGTTATCGCCTGGCGGTTCTGGATCCGAGTACCTGTTTCGGGATTATGATACGAATGGGCGCGGCGCCAGGACGAGCGCACCATTTTGAAAAGGACCCGGCCACTATCCGAGCAGATGTTGCAGGTTTTTGAACTTCGGGATCGTAGACTGCGTGCATGTCTCAAGTGAAACCGCCAAGCTGGCCGAGGGACAAGTGCACATGTGGTTCTGCTCCGTAGGCGTTTACTGGGGGGCCAAGGCAACGTGCCATTTCCCAAGGTTCGTTGGGACTGTCGATGGCGTGCTCACTCGAGGTAACTCAGGGAACCGGGATCAAGGAAAGCATCACGCACGAAGCATCCATTGACTTTCGTTGCGCTCGGAAATTTTCTCGACACATGGCGAGCGCAAGTCAGTTTCATTGGCGAGCCCTGGAGACGGTGGAGCCAGCTCCAGTACCCCGCCACTTGCCATACGGGGACTTTGTACAATTGTGAACCTCAGTGGGCTCGGCTGATCGTCCCCCAGCTCTTCCACATCCTTGCTTGCAGGAGAAAGATAAGTCTTGTCCGTCACCCCTTAATGATTCTCGTAGTCCTCCTCCTATCGTCATCGTCGTGCATCGTAGGACTACGGGTGATCAGAAACAGCTGTCCTGTTGCTCGGCGTCGCAAGTACGAATGTTCGAGATCAAAGTTGACCTCACGTGCATTGTCAGACGAGTCTATTTCACGTATTTGGTTGAAGGAAGCACCCATCTGCCTCCCTACCTCCTGCCATAACTTCGACTGACACGCGTGGCTCGAAGTCAATAGTTCACGTGGCCAAGGTTAGGATGGAATGGATTTGTATGAGTTCTGCATGGTGTTCACGGAAGGACTTGCATATCGAGTGTGTGTGCGTGTGTGTTTCACGGGCTTCTATTTGGCGCGCGCGATTGTATCGCGATAATTCGTGTGGTCTTGCTTGGTGCCGCGCACGTCGTCCACTGCACCACTGCATCATGCTTCCACGACCACCTTGCGGTTCGCTAAGACGGGGGAGGTGGGACGGGAGGGACCTTCGCAACGATGGGAACCTTTTGAGCTTCCAGCAGCCCCGCCAGCCTATCCAGAAACGATTCACAGGCCAGTTCTTTTTTCGACAAAGCGGAAGACCAGCAGTGAAACCAACAGCGGGGAGATTTGTCAAACCAGATATGATCTAGCAGTCAGCCGAAGGGGCCTCGAGCAATGGCGAATTTGGGTTGCCTCGAGGAGTTCCTGGGGCTTCCTTGCCGTCCAGCGCCGCGTGCGAAGACTGGGCCACAGGGCGGAATCCGATGCTTCCTTGGAACAAGAAAAGGGCGATGGGGGCTAGCGGCGGGGTATCCTTGAGGGCCTTCGGTGCCATCTTGGGGCTCTTCGCGGGATCTGCCGGGGCTCTTGCAGGGGGCCTGGCATAGCTCGGACGTGCGCACTGTTTCCCTGCAAGAGTCATCCAGGAGCATTATGGACGATCTTGCGACTTGCGAAACAGTGCACGCACGAAGCCGAAAGTGATCATTTGTTATTCTTGTTTTGCCGATCGGCGCGGGTCCTCGCACACACCCCATCCCCCCCCCCCATATGGAGTAGACCTTCGCTGTTTTTGTGGAGCCTGTTTCGAGCAGGTGGGGTCTCCCCCATAGGACGCACTGCTGGAAACAGTCGCACTACGCCAAGGTCTGGAGCCAAACCCCCCTCCCCCCCCCCCTTCCGCCCAGTGTCGAAACGCCGAAGAAGAAGAAGAAGAAGAAGACGCTAACACACATGCAAAAGGGAAAGGACGTCCGAGCGATGGCAAGGGGGGGGGGGGCCTCTTGGGGCCAGCGGCCGGCCCCGCGGCCGTGCACCTGTCCGACGCTAGCAGTGCAGGCTGCATCGCCCGCCGCACGTCTCGCTCGAGCAGTGGCGAAGCGTCCTGGCGCGCCTAGAGAGGCCTACCAAGCAGTGTTCCAAGAACCCTCTTGTGGTTTCCACGAAATGTTCTTAGAACATCTCTGGCTGGGAGCGTGTTGTATTAACACATCGGGTTCACATTCTAAGGACATGTCGTGGTAGGGTCTGTAGGAATGCCGGGACGGTCGGTCCCTGCTCAACTCTCGCGGCCTCCTCGGAGGCGCCAGGTCCTGGGCGGGGCATCACCACCCACCAAACCTTCCGGACCCAATCCGCAGGCCCCAACTTGCCCTCCATCTCCAGTGTGGGGGGGGGGGGTCGGGAAACATTGAAAAAGCACAGATGCAACCCGTGCCCCCCCCCCCCAACCTGAAATTCGGGTCAAATTCGGGTCTTCGAGCGGGGGGGGGTGGTCTGGTAGGTAGTCCGCCCCCTCGGAGCCGCCAGGTCCTGGGCAGCGCAGGCAACCGCCCCGCGCCGGTGCGGCGGCGACCCCCAGCGCGAGCGCTCCAGGAGGAACGCCTGCAGAGGGCCGGAGCCGGCCGACAGCGGACGATCCGCGCTGTCGGAGCGCCGGGATCGTTCAGTGCCCAGCTGTGCACCCGGTGTCGGAAGCCGAGGCGCAGGTGCGGCACTGACGGGCCGTTTTGTGGCAGCTCTCGGCCGCTCTCTGCTTTCCTCTGCCGTCCCTGGCTGCGGCTTCACGGTTGCGTCAGTGGTCATGACCTTGTCCTGAGCTAATTTCTCAGCCGTCCGCCGCCGCGGCGGCCGTCCCTGCCTACGGCCATTTCGTTGGCATTTGGTTGCTGTGCACCTGGTGTGAGGCGTTTCTCATGCATTCTTGGGGCCATACTGCAGGCCCGTGTGGTTACTGTTGCTTTGTAAGGTCTGGACGAATTGGCTCTTGAGACTCGGGACGCTCTTGGGTGCTTTCGAAGCTGAGACGACTCTTGGGACCCTTCTGGGCCCTTCTTGGGGCTCTCTTGTGCACACGGTCACCCGAGCTTCGGAGGAAGCAATGAGTTAAAGTCGTCGTAGTCGTCGGCGTCTCTCTCGGCCTCGGTTTCCACGTGGATTCGCTGACACTCGGATCTTCAAAAGGACAATGTCTTCTACCGAAGTTTGCCAACACTATGAGATGCATCTACGTATGGGGATCTCCGCGTCGAGTAATTTGTTGTTATGTCTTCTACCCCACTCTTGACAAAACGAATGCAAGGTGGCGGCGGGGCAGTCAGCGGCCAGCAGTGTATGCGGTGGAGGCACACGCCATCAATTCAATTCGTGCTTGCTAGAGGGAGCGGTAGAAGGGCGAGCACACTGGGCCAACGTGACCCCGCCCTCGCCCCTCCTGCCAGAACCAAGTGCACAGTTATCGCTGGGCACCCGCTGACGATCCAGCGTTTGCCGCCGCGTGCACCCTGCTTCTATCGCGAGGGGAGGGTTCGGGGCTCCAGCGCTTGTTCCTGGTCGGCGGCCGGTCGAGCGCGGGAGGGGGCGCTTGGAAGAGTCAGTGGTCATGCTCGCTTGGTTGGAGGAGGAGGACGGTCGGATCTAGCCAGGACCCCGGGTAAGGGGGGACCCGGTTAGTGGTAGGGCCCCGGAGCCGCTAAATTGGCCAGAAACACTAAACCGGGTCTGCCGTAGCTGGTGTTTTCTGGATAACGGCAGTTCCAGTTGGTGGAATGGGGCGGGGGGGGTCCCCCAGTACCCATCACTAAACCAGGTCCCACTAAACCAAGTTCTTCCAACGCCCGAGACGGGATTGTCTCTTGAAGAGCTCGCATTCTAATCCACATGCGCCGAGCGGGCTATTGGGATCACCTCTCCCACGACGCCTGCTGGTGTCTCGTGTTTTGTGTATGGCCGTGGGGCCTCGTCACTTCTCGCGTAACTGAGCACATCTTCAGTTGTCCCTCCTCCTCCGAACCTCTGCGCTCCAAGCCTCCCAAACGGGGTCGCAGTAGGTAGGGTCGGAGGATCGCGCCGCATCGCCGATGCATCGGCGATGCGGATCGATGTGGAGCCCGAGATTACACCATCCCGACGTCGCGGATGCACCTCGAATGCATTGGCGATGGCGCGATCTTCCGACCCCATCTGCTCGGACCTCACTTGTGTGGGCAGCCTCGATTCACGCCTCTCCCTGGGCTGGGGGGGGGGAAAGTCCATGTAGCAGACGTCGGCGTAAGCGCACATGCCTTCACGGCTCGACTTAAGTGGGTTTGGGCGATTTCGTGGGCCGTTTTCGTTTCGACCTCGTTTTGCATTACAGGCGGAACGAAGACAGAGCGAGGGAAAACGAACATGACAAACATTTGTTCGGTCGATCCCTGATGCGGGGCTCCCTGTAGGACGACGGCCTGGTGGTGGCCTTCTGCGAGAACCGCGACGCGAGCATGAAGGGATTCTTCCCGGAGTTCAACCTCGCGGAGATGATCTTCAGGCAGGTTTTGCTGTCTCCGGCATGCGACTGAGGGGACCTTGAGATCTTGTCGTTGCGTTCTTCTCAACGGGCGCTTTCGTCCGGTTTCAGGTCCTGGGACCCTCATCGATCCATCCGGCCTGAACGATGAGGCAGAAAGATGGGGCCCAGGGCTCATGCCCTGATTTTTCGCGATGTTGCAGCTTTTTCACAACGTCGGATCTCAGGGTGGTCGGGTGTTGCTAGAAGTACCCCTGGCCCAAGGTAACCCCAGGATGCTCGGGGTGGCCCAGACGGCCTCCAGGGCACCCCTCACGAGGCCCAGAGGGCGCCAGGGGCTCCAGAATGCGAAAAGCTGGGGGCACTTTGGGCCAGGGGCACTTCTAGCAACACCCGAAAGGGGAGGGTCGACATGGGAGTGGAGGGCGGAAGGGGGGACAGGGGACAGGGCACGGCTGCCGCAGCTTCGGGTGCTGCCAGAGGCGTCCCAGGCCCACGGTGCCTCCAGGATTTCCAGGGAGGCCCATGCGGCCTCCCCGAGCACCCCGCACGAGTCCCCGAGGGGTCTCTGGGGCCCCGGCATGCTGCGAGGAGCCGGGGACGCCCCAGGCCTAGGCCGCCTGCTGGCGGCAACCGGAGGGTCAGGAGAGGGGATGGAGACCGCGGGCAGAAGTGGAGGGTTTCTCCGAAGGGCTTAGTCGACCCGTCCTCCTCCTCCTCCTCCTCCTCTTCCTCCTCCTCCTCCTCCTCGTCCTCCATCTCCTCCTCCCCCTACCCTTCCTCCTCTTCTCTCCTCTCCTCCTCCTCCTCCTCCTCCTCCTCCTCCTCCTCCTCCTCCTCCTCCTCCCCTCCTTTCCTCCTCCTCCTCCTCCTCGTCCTCCATCTCCTTTTCCTCCTCGTCCTCCTCCTCCTTCTCCTCCTCCTCCTCCTCCTCGGGTCGCTTACGGCCCCGGTGGAAACCGTGCAGGCAGAAGGGGGGGGAGGGCGGAGACGGGGGAAAAGGTTGGGCGTGGACAGAACCCCCACCCTGACACCTCGATTAGTGACTTGTACGTCTTCGGTTCTCGAGAGGGCGCAACGCGGCCGTCAGTTTCCAGACTTGCACCCGCCAGGTTTGGGCCCGGGGTCGTTTTCACTAAACCACGTTTTGCTAAAGGGGGGTCCGTCAATCACCGAAAATGGGGCAAGACATAGTGTTGGTCGCAGCGATGGCGCTCGCACGCCGCGGAGCGGGGACATACTGCAAGGCGAGCTGTGCACACTCGGGCGGTGAGGGCAAGAACCGCACAGGGGGCAGCGCTCAGGGGCTGCTGCAGAGATGTGCCTGGCCCACAGGTGTCCCCGGCGTCTCGCTGCATCTTGGAGCCCCTGGAGCCTTCTAGGCTCAAGTCGGGCATGTCCCTCTACAGGAGGAATATACGAGAATAGAAAAATAGTCTGGGGACGATGCTTCCATCATTTCTGAATATTTCTGATTTGTTTGACAGTTTTCTTTGTTTGTATCCTCCGCAAGCGGCCTGTAAGAGGACGTGCCCGACCTAGCTCTAGGCCTCGCGAGTGATGCTCTGGAGGCCGCGGAGGGGCCTCCTTGGAACCCCTGGGGGCACCATGGGCTGGGGACCCTTCCCTCCCTGGCGCGAGGAGCGCGCCAGAGGGCTCCAGCGCCGAGCCGAGGAATCCGCGCGGACGCCGGAAAGTCGGCGGCGCGCAGGGGGGCAATCAGGGGGAGGGGGGAAGGCTTTTTGGGAGCACCCCTGCTTCTAAGATGCCTTCCCCCCACCCCCATGACCTTCCAGAAGCCCTCCAGCCCTATAGACCTATCTGGCCTGCCCAAAACCTCGGCAGGCATTTAGATGTCGAGGTCCTGGTGCTATTTTTGTTAGGCCTCCCGGAAGGTCAGGGCCCCGAACCCCCGCTGCGCGCCGCCACGAAAGTGCACGTCTGTGCCACTGCTACTCCCCAGACGCCCCCCCTGGCGAGCTTTCTCGCGGGAGCGGCGGCGCCCGCCAGCAACGCCTACGCCTTCCCCGGCCTCACGCTGGTCGCCGACGACCACCCGAAGGAGCCCCGGGAGGGCGGAGTTGCTCGATCCTTAAGGCCTTGACGACTTTTCGCCAATCGTCTTGTGGGGATCGAGCCAGACATCTCCAGGTAAATGCAGCTCAATCCATGTAAATCGAGGTAAATCCAGGTAGATCCAGAGATCTTCAGGGACAGTTGGAGCACAGTGCGGCCGCTCTAGCGCGAGTCGAAGGACGGCAGAAGTCGTTAAGCCCCTAACGAGGTTCTGACGAAGACAGCACCGTAGACAGGACCGTTCCAGAGCTTCAGAGCGCTCCGGAATGCTCTGAGACAGCTGCGGCGCCCGAGGCATCCTCCAGGACCGCCAGATCTCAGAGATTCCCGATCACAGACCACCCCGACCCAACCCGAAGGCCCCAACTTGCCCTCCATTCCCAGTGGGGGGGGGCATCGGGGAACATTGAAAAAACACATGTGGAACCCATACCCCTGCTAGCCCGAAATTTGGGTCTTCGGGCCAGGTTGGGGTGGTCTGGTAGGTAGTCATTCACCTGAATTCACCCTCGTCCTGGCTTCGTCATAGCGGCTGCCTTTTGCTGCGGGAGCCGTCACGCCGGGGATTTTTGGTGGCCGCCCAGGCCGCCCAGGCCGGGCCCTCACTCATAGAGCCGAAGCCCTGACCCAGAGGAGGAAAAGGTACCCATCTATTCAGGAGGTCTTTAGTTTGGGGTTTCCCCCCCCCCCCCCCCCCCCTGTTCCTGTCGGCGGGGAACAGAGTCGCGCCTCCTCCTCCTACTCCTCCGCCTCCTTCTCCATTCTTTTAGCTTATGGGTAACTCCTCCCTGTCGCGCCCCGAGGCCAGTCGGAAAGGCTGTCCTGGCGTTTCGCATGATATTGTTTTGCCGTTTCTGATCCTGAAGCTTCGGAATTGGCAACAGTTCTACTCATGGAGGGCGGGCCGCTTCCAAGATGTGGCTCTTGCCTTAGCGCCGCGGACACTCGTCTTAGAAAGTTGCAAGAGCTTCGCGGAGGGAGGGCGGGTCGTTTTCAAAATGTGTTCCGCGCCGTAGCGCAGTCAAGTTGCGACGACAGCGGTGCTTTTGCTTGACTGCGCGACGCTGCCGTTTTTTCCACGAGGTCGGAACTCCGTGGGGGTTTTCTGACCACGCCGCGCTTCTTCCGTTCGGGTGGCCGGTCTTCTGTGGCAAGTTCATGGGACTACAACGAGTCCCCCGATTCCGATGCCTATGCCACCAGCATTGCGCTCCGTGAACTAGTATCTCGCAGTTTGTCGGCGCACTGCACAACAGCCTCGCAGCAGTGCGTCCCAGGCAGGCTCCATGGCCAGTGATCCGCCCTGCTCGCCGGCACCGTGGAGGGGAACTCCTGAGGCCCTCGCAGGTCTCTCGTGTGGACCCGATGGCAGAGAAACAGACATCAAGGGTCAGGCGCAACGTCAGTGGTCGTTTTTTCACTCATTGTTCTGCCGATCGGCGCGGGCCCTCGCTCCCCCCCCCTCCCCCCCCGAACGGAGTAGATCTTGGCTGTTTGGGGCGCCTGCCTCGAGCAGGTGGAGCCCCTCTCTCGCAGGACGTACTGTTGCAAGCAGTCGCGCTACGCAGAGGTTCGGAGCCAGACCGCCCCCTCCCCCCCCCCTTTTCCGCCCAGTGTCGAAGCGTCGAATCAGAAAGCGCTCACCTGCCCCCTCGGAGGGGGTCGGGAGCCCTGGGGCGGAGGAGGAGGAGGAGGAGGAGGAGGAGGAGGAGAGGAGGAGGGAGAGGAGGAGGGAGGAGGAGGAAGGAGGAGGAGGAGGTGCAGGAGAAGGGAGCGCCGAGCACAGAAACGCTCACCAGGGGGGGATTCGGCCTCGGGGGAGACGTGTCGACTCCCGGGCGCCCACTCCTCGCCGCGGGGGGCCCGGGACCGTGCGGCCGTTCTCTCTTTCGGGGGCCCGGCGCCGAGCCACCGGCGAGGTACCACCGATTCCTCCTCCTCCTCCTCCTCCTCGTCCTCCTCCTCGTCCTCCACCTCCTCCTCCTCCTCCTCCTCCTCCTCCTCCTCCTCCTCGGGAGTTTCGAGACGGGGGTCAATGCAAACGGGGGTCAGCCAGAGCACCCGATCTTGCAGGATCCTGCAGGGCCAGGGTCGCATCGACCCGGGTTTGGGTGCAGGATCCTGCAGGATCTTGCGGAATCCTTCGCATTGACCCCGGTTTGGGTGCAGGAGTTTGCAGGATCTTGCAGGCCTGACTGACCCGGGTCTGGATTGACCCGGGTCAGGAGATCCCCGACCAGGTCGATGCCTCCCTCCGTTTCGCGCTCCGATTCGATTCGAGTCGACTTCGATGGATTGCGATGCCGATTCGATTCGACTCCAGTTTCCGATTTATCAAAGGAGGTTTTTTAGCCAGCCGATGTCCACCGATTCGACTTCTCTCGACTTGGCCGCCGATTTCCGCCGGTACGATTCATTTCCATCGCCGATCCGACTCATCGATTCGATCCTGGACGCTCCTGCCTAATCGGGTCGCCCCTGCCGGCTGACGCGAACGCGTGGGGCCTGCTTGGAGCCTCCTGCCCAGCAAACGCCCGCCCTCTCGCCAGCCAGCGGCCAACAGGCCGAGCACGGCGCGCTGCAAACGCAGTGCAGCTGTCGACGTCGACGTCGCCGTCGGCGATTCAGGATCGGTTTTTTTTCCGAGCGCTTCCATAGTGTTTCTGGGACGTTCTTGGGTGTTCCGTTCTGGTGGGCTATGATGGGTTCTGGGGGCCAGGGGAGACTGCACTGTCGACGAAGACGCTTCCAGCGAACCCCCGCCGCCCCCTGTCTTTTAGAACCGCGTCTGCGGCCACACGTTCAGCAAAAGTCTGGCCACGATGTTGGACCGTGTGCTCCTCCAGCCGTTGGGACAACCCTCGGGGGAACATTTGGGGGAGAATACCGAGGACGCGGGGGAGGCGAAGGAGAGGGCGGAGAGGGCGGACGAGGAGGAGGTCTCTTGCGGCCCTCTTGGGGTCTCTTTTGGACCTCCTGGGGGGCGTCTTGGGAGCCTCTGACCTCCGATGGGCCACTTGGGGTGCCCGAGCTCGTGCTCGGCCCCCGGCAGATGCGCGTCAGGAGCTGTTCGTGGCGGCGCTGGCCCTGTAGCAGCCGAATTGCGCCTCCTCCCGAGCTCTCTCCTCATCCTTCTCCTCCCCCTTCGTGTCCTTGAGAGTCGCCCTTCGTCCTTGCGCCTCGTCCTTCGCTCTTTCCTCCTCCTCCTCCTCCTCCTCCTCCTCCTCCTCCTCCTCCTCCTCCTCCTCCTCCTCCTCCTCTCCTCCCCCCTCCGCTATCCTCCCCGTGCTCTGCGCAGCGTAGAGGCAACGTTTCGGTGCCCACTGACCCACCACAGCCCAGGGCGCCCTGCCCACTCTTCCTCGGGCATGCCGCTGCCTCAACTTGTGCTCCCTGTGCCTTCCCCCCTTCGGAGGTCCCTTGAAACCTTCGCCGCCAGAAACGTCCACCGACCTCGGTCCTAGATCATTATTCCTCCTCCATTTTTTGGCATTCGTTTCCCCTTTCTCTCGCGCCCCGTTTCCGTCCTCATCTGTCCGCTCGTTTCCCCTCCTTTCCCTTTTTGTCGCAAGGGCGCCCTCGAGGGCGCGAAGTTATTCGCGCTTCGCGTTTCGGTTCCGATTCCTCCTCATCCTCCTCTTCTCCCTTGGGAGGCGGCGCGAGAGCGCGAGGTGTTCCGCATTTCGCGCAGCGCGAAGCGCGAAGTTGGGAGCCCTTTGTTTGTGCCCTCCAGCAGGGGTCGTTCTGTGCGTGGCTTGCGGGTCGCTGCCCTCGTCCGTTGGGGCATGGTGCCCCTCGTCGGGGCGCGGCGAGAGCCGAGCTGGTGGGTCTAACACGAGAGGTGAGGCGGGAGAGGCGAGGAGGCCGAGCGGAGAGGAGGAGGAGGATGCGGAGGAGGAGGAGGAGGAAGAGGAGGAGGAGGAGGAGGAGGAGAAGCAGGAGGAGGAGCAGGAGGAGGAGGAGAAGAAGGAAGCGAAGGAGGAGGAGGAGGAGGAGGAGGGAGAGGAGAGGAGGGAGGAGCGTGAGAAAGAAGGAGAGAGGAGGAAGGAGGACGAGAGGAGGAGGAAGGAGGAGGAGGAGGAAGCGCGCAGGAGGAAGCGTGAGAAAAGAAAGAGAGAGTAGGAGGAGGAGGAGGAGGAGGAGGAGGAGGAGGAGGAGGACTAGCAGTGGCAGGAGGAGGGCCAGGTTGTCGGGAGGAGGAGGAGGAGGAGGAGGAGGAGGAGGAGGAGGAGGAGCAGGACGGTCTTTGGTCAGGAGCAGATGCTGAAGATGTCGGAGCGGCTGCTCTCCGTCATGCCCAAGGCCCGCGACGAGAGGGAGGGGCATGGCCCCGTCCTTTTGCTCGAGTCCGTCCCTTCGGCTTTTGTCTTCATAGTATTCCTCAGACGTGAGAATACCCATTGCGCTGCCCGTTCATCGTACTCGCCTTATTGCGCCTCCCGTCAGGCTCTCGTCGCCACGGCTGGACTCGCCTCCAAGTGTTGGTCAGGCTGCACCATGGGAGAGGTCCGGTGAGCAGCGGTGCCTGTATCTCTGGCTCTCGACCAGCTCCTCTTCCTCATCTTCTCCTCCTCTCTCCCCATCCTCTTCCTCCTCCTGTCGTCCTCGTCCTGTCTCCTCTCTGTCTCTCCGTGCTCGTTCACGTCCTTGCGTCCTTCATGGGGCCGACGCCGGCCGGACAAGCCGACGCGTCGCCTACGGCCACAGGCCTCGTGCGTGCTGTGGGGCTCCGGGTCGGCAACGTCGGGCCAGGGGGGGGGGGGCTCGGGGGCCCCCAGGCGGTGCGGTGATCACACCGTGCGGTTGCGCACGCTGCTCGACGCGGAGGTCCCCAGTGTGCGTCTCGTGCTCCTGTCACGTCTCGCCGAGGAGCTCTGTCTGTGAGCATCTGGATGTGAGACCGAGTCAGCGTAGATGACGGCCGCGACAGCGACGACGACGACGACGACAGCGACGACTGCGGTGACGTCCTCCTCCTCCTCCTCCACCTCCTCCTCCTCCTCCTCCTCCTCCTCCTCCTCCTCCTCCTCCTCCCCCTCCTCCCCGTCCTCTGGGCATCTTTCAGGAGAGATGAGGGAAGCAACATTGGAAGAGCGTGGGAGCATTGGATCACCAAATCAGAGAAGATCGAGTGAATCTGAGCATGAGTGATCTGAGTGTGAGTGAGTCTGAGTGTGAGTGAGCCTGGGTAGAAGTGAGTTTTAGTCTGATTGACTTCAGGTATTCAAGAATGGTTACGTGTGGGTCTGATTATAGGGAAGTCTGAGTACGAGTGAGTCTGAGTGCGAGTGAGTCTGAGTGTGAGTAAGTCTGAGGATGAGTCTGAGGATGAGAGATCAGCGCCTTGCCTGAGACATCCCCACAGTCTGCTCTGACAGCAGAGGAGTCGGGTGCGCCAAAACAGGCAAACCGCCTGAGACATCCCCACCACCTGGGCGCGAACGGGCCCGCGAAATGCCCGTGGCGGCTCCCGTCTGGGAGTGTTGAGCCCAGCGCCTCGCCTGAGACATCGTCGCAATCTGCCACGAAAGTAGAGGGTGCTCAGCATGCAACCAGGCACACCGCCAGAGACATCCCCACAGTCTGGGCGCCCGCGGGCCCACGAAGTGCATCCCTCGCGGCTCCCCGCTGGGGAGTGCTGACGCTGGCGCCTCGCCCGAGGCATCCCCACCATCTGCTCCGGAGGCAGACGATGCTGAGCATGCCGACCAGCAGCCCGCCCGAGACGTGGCCACAATCCGGGCGCGAACGGGCACGCGAAGTGCCCGTGGGCGGCTCCCCGCTGGGGAGTGGTGGCGCGGGCGTCTCGCCTGGAACATGCTCACGGCCTGTGGGTGCGAGGGTCATTCTGCCTGCGAGTGGGTCCGAGTGGGGACGTGATGTGGCCGAGTCTGGGTGGGGGAGGGTGGGGCTGAGCGAGAGGGAGAGTCTGGATGTGTGTGTGGGTGAGAGCGAGTCTGAACACGAGCGTGAGTGGTCTGAGTTGGGACTCCTGGGAGGCTTTCCTCGCCACCGCCGGATTCGTTTCGAAATTCTGGTCAGGACGCTCCCTGGGAGAGGTCGTGTGAGTTAGCGGTATCGGTATCTTTCGGTTCCCCCAGATAGTCATGCGATCCCATGCGGTCTGATGCTTGCATCGCGTTGCTGCACATCCTGGTGCGATCCCATGCGGCCTGACGCTTGCATGGCGTTGCTGTGCATCCTGGAAGACCGATCCTGTTCTAAACCTCGGCTCAGTGCCGGCGCAGCCCGTTCCGACGCAAAGGTCCGGCCCCGTCAGTGTTCGATTGATTTGGGCTTGGGGCTCGTCATGCTGCCGTGGCGCGCGGAACAGACACGGCTTCACTTGGGCGCAGGTGTGGGAACAGCCGGCGACGTGGAGTGAGTCAAACGATACAGTCGGGGCGCTGACGAAGGAACTCTACTCGTTGGGGAGGGGCTTCGTGCTCCTCAATTGTTTGGCAGCTTGCCTCAGGTTTTCATCAGGTTTTCGATGGGAAGTCGAAGGTTAACTTTGGAGAAAAGGGGCCTCGTTCCTTACTTCGGGTTCATTGGGTCAGCGCCCCGACTGTACTTACGTACGCATCGATTTGCTTTTGGCTTGTCTCGCCAGAGGGCTCCTGGAAGCGCGCTGGGGCGAGACGTGTTCATTACATGCCCTTGATGTCCGAAAATGTATCCCCAGACAGTTGGGAACCGATCCGCTAGGGGGAGAGTTCAGAGAGTTGGTAAAGTCTTCACCTCGGTGGCGTCCCCCTGGAAGGTTGCCGCGCGGGCTGATCTCCCCCCGTTTGATTCGGCTGTGCGCTCATTCTATCAGTTCTTTGGTTGTGTGCTAGGCGTTTGGAATCCAGGCTCAAGATTCCTTTGGTCCCATGTGCCTGTCAGTTGGTTGCATATCGCGTGCCAATGTGCCAATGTACTGGCCCTTTGGCGAAGCGTTCTCGCATTGCCAGTCGTCGGCCGCAATGTCGATGGAGCGGCTTTGCCGCCGTAGTGAGCTACAAGTTGATCCTCGGTGAGCGACAAAAAATATGGACAGTGGTAGGGGTAATGTGTAGTTTCCCCGTGCACCATGTGGTTCTCAGATTCCCCTCCGCTTCGTTTCGCCTCAGAGGCGGGATGGAAGCGGTGAGGGTTCGGACGCAGCGAGCGAATTTCTCGGCACTAGGTCGCGCTGCCGGATATCGGACGAGACGTTTGTCCCACTCGTTCGGGCAACACTGACCTGCCTTCGCGTGCGGAAGGATATCAGGGGGGGTAAAAACACACAGACACAATGAATCGTCGATTCCCAGAAAATATTGGAAAATATGAGACAAAATCCCAGAACATATGCGAAAACATGGGGGATTATTTTATTTGTGTGTATTTTTTTGTGTGTCCCAGGGCCCCTTCAGGATAACCTATCTCTCCCCCTCTCCGCAGCCCGAGCCGCAGCCTCTCTCTCTCTCTCTCTCTCTCAGCGCGGGCCCGAGCTGCCTGGGGGTCGCAGGAGCGCGCCGCATCGCTGATGCGGCAGCAGATGCGGCGCAATCGGCAGTCATCCTGTTTCCGTCCCCGCGTCTCCGATGCAGCGGCGATGCGGTGCGCTCCTCGGGCCCCGTCCGTCGCCCTGAAAGTAGACGTCTCCTGCGTGCTGGGGGAACGGTTCCTGGATCCCGGGTCTCTTCCCCAGGACCAGCTCTCAGTTGAGCCCGAGCTGTCTCTTGACGGTCCTGGTGCCCGTGGGTGAGTCTAATCCGTTCCAGAAAGCTCTCGGAGCTTTCCGGAACGTCCCGAGAAGGCCACGGCGCCCAGTACATTCCTCAGAACCGCTGGATCGCGGAGATCTCCGGTTCATCCCGATCCGATGTTGTCCCGACATTGCGCCTGGTTTTGTGGCAGGCCCTGTGGGGCCGAAGGCAGAGGGAGAAGAACTTCTCTGGGACCCCTTTGCCTGCAGGACCCGCCTCCTGCACGCCTAGCCAGAGCGAGGAGGGGCACTGCGCGCCGCGGGGGGTCCTCGCAGCGCGGGCTGCTTGGGGGTCTCTCAGTGCCTTTCCCAGGGGCGACTTTTTCACCCCGTGCTGTTCTTAGGCGCTGGCGGAGGCACAGAATCCGGGTCAACGTCGCGGTGGGATAGGGTCAGGGGGGGGGATTCGCCGAACCCTAATCGCCCATTGACCGCCGGTAGAGGCTCCATAGCCCACCCCGCCCACGAACGCTCGGTCTCGCTATCGGGGGTATGTCCCCGATCTATCAGCGATGATTCGCCGATTCCAAGGCGATGCTTCTCCCCTTCGACCCTTGATCTTGGACGATGGCGGGCTGGGGTCGTCGTGGCATGCCAGCCCCGTCAGCGGGCCCACTGGGACTCCCGCCTCTCTCCTGACACGTCACGGTAGCGTTCTCCGCTGCCTGGGGAAGCCATCTTCCTGGACCTCGGGAGGCGTTGGTTGTTGATGTGCTCGGGGCCCCCGGAGCCCAGATGCGTCCATATCCACCTCCAAGGGTCCATGCTCGATCCGATCGATCCGTTTCGATGTCGACTCCGGCCGGCGATGGTCCTGCGATCCGATGCGGGCCGCTGCCTGCGTGGCGCCGTGGTGCATCTCGGCGCCGCCGACGCGGTGCGAGCTTCCGTGCCGAGGCCCGAGCCGGCGCGCGCTCCGATCCGCTCCGAGCGTCAGCTCCGGCGTCGAGTGGGCTTGCCGTGGGGGGGTCCGGGGAGATCGGCCCCCCCGAAGGCGGTGGGCGCGTGCAGGTGCTGGCCTCGCGCCTCCTGCGCCGCTCGTCTCCTCTGCAGGCGCTGGAGCTTCTACCGCCACCACCGCCTCCCTCACCCCATCCCTCGCTCAGGAAGCAGGAGAGGAAGAGTAGGGTGGAGGAAGGAGGGGGAATGGAGGTCGTGCTGGTGGTGATTTTTATGTGTATTCATATATTTGTAGGTCTATACACATACTTCCATGGGGACCCGCATCCTCTGCCCGAGATGAACACCCTCGACGACGACATCAAGGCGCAGGAGGCCGCGACGGCCAAGCAGGAGAAGTACGCCGACGACGACGAGGCGGCAGGGCCTGGGTCACACTTCGGCAGCACCTCCTCTACCGTTTTTCTGGTCGCCGAAGGAGAGAAGGAGGCGATGAAGTGCTCGATGACTCTTGGGGGGGTAGCTCGCCTCGGGATGCTGTTCAGCAGCTGAGCTGCGTCGCGTCGGGAGCTTTTTCCGGAGGCCCGGGCTTCGGGGGCACGACCCGAGCACCACCAGGCGTCGAAGAGGGGGCTGAGGAACAGGGGGGTGGAGTACCCTGGGGATCACACATGCTGACACCATGGTCCACAATAAGACCGCGGCGCTGTGTGGGTATGTAAGTCACACAGCGGCGGCAAGACCTTTGACGAAAGATTGGCGAGCAATCCGCTGCCCCTCGTGGATGATTATCATGGCTGGGGCCACGGCATCTCGCGTGTTTTGGGATCTTTTTGGTCTTTCGGTACGCGACCAGGCCCCCCTCAGACCGCGCGCGTTTCCCGGGCCATGCTGCCCCCCCCCTCTTCTTTCGAACAACAAACGGCAACAAACGGCATTATCATCGGTCGCTGAAGTAGGTATTTTTGGATGTCCAGATTCCAATCTACTTTGAGCGCCTTCCTACTTCAATGATCGAGTGGCTTCACCTTTTCCGTCCTCCTTAGGGGGCGGACGGAACCCAATCTCTCTTCAACGCCATCCTACTTCATGTTTCTATCTACGTACTTCTTCCGACCGATGGGTACAAGTATTTTCTCTGAGGTCCGCGCGGATTCCTGGGTGGCGCTTCTGGCGCCGCCCCTGGCTAACTCCGTGCGCCAGGGGGGTGTCCCGGCGCCGATCCAAGAAATCCGCGCGGAGTTCCGAACGTTTATGCTCATGCAGTTCGTCGGTCCTTCACCGATCTTCGGCGCACCCGAGCCCTGCGACCCCGCGCAAGTTCCACCAAGGTTGGTGCTTGTTTCGCGGCCTCGTTCGAGGCGTCAGCAACTACTGCAGGGACCCGCTTGGACAATTCGGAACACGCCATAGGTGGGGGCCAAAGGTCGGAGAAGGAAAAGGTACCGGTACCGCAAGCAGTTCTTCGTTTCCCACTTGTCCGCTTTTTCCTCATAAGCAGCCCCTCGGTCGCGCCACAAGACACGTCGGTGGTGCGGGACTGGGCGTGCCGCCTGAGACTTCCTCACAGCCAGCTCAAGCTTGGAATTGCTGTAGCGCGAGTGCTCTTTTCGTTTAGAATTTTACATGCCGCGTTTTCACGAGCGCCCAGCGCACTCCGCTGTTCTCCATACATTTCCGTGGCGAAAGTTGTCATCTGTTTTGGTTCGCAATGCGGTTCAGCGAGGTAGGCGGGGTATATAGCGGGGTATATATATATATAGTACTCCACGCGAGGGTGCATCCCGTGCGTGACACGGACTGCTCAGTGCGGAGTAGGTTTTGCTAGATTTGTAACATATATAAGCATACATCATTGAAGCACTAAGAAGACCCAACCTCTTCTGCTGATTTGTTGCCACGGTGGTGTATGTGGCTCTCACCTGAGGGTTGCGTGCATTCGATGTAAGATTTTCCAGCAGTCACACGGGTGGAGAGCGGACCGTGATTGGATATGTGGATCCCGCCTCAGAGTAGTCGTAAAGTGGTATCAGTTTCAGAGATGGGGCGGGCAATTGTTCTTCAATCAGAAATTCTTGCCTGGCACTCCATCTGATTTTGCACCAGACATGTAACACTGCGGATATTGGAATATTGGATGGGCGGCGGGAACTGTTCGATTAGGTTTCTCGACGGGGACTTTCATGACTGTATCTTGTTGCGCTACTAGAATTCCAGGCGATCGCAAACATGGATCACGAGGGCGTGTATTAGCGACGGGTCCACGTTCCATGGGAAACCGCGGACTTCGCCGCCGAGCGAGGTGGCACCGGCCACACTTTGGGGAGGGCACTTCCCCTGATCCATTGATTTTTGCGACCGCGCGCCAAATCCGTGGATCGCCAATCCATGTTGGGGCGCCCCCGACAAGGAATGGAGGGCGGTTCTTCTTTATCATGGCGTTTTCGTCGGAACGGCATGCTGGGGCGCTCGTCCCTCAAGGGGCGTTCCCCGTGCACCTACGGCCATCGGCCCAATACCCCCCCCGCCGTGCCTGGGTCCCTGGAAGGCCCCTCGGAGGCCTCTCGGGTCCTCGTGGAGCCCTTTCTTGGGGGGCCCTTCTGGGGACCTGCTGGGGGCCTCCCGGGGCCATCTTGGGGTGCAGTGTCGAGGCTGAGGATGAGGCGTAGGAGGAGGAGGAGGAGGAATTGGAGGATTGATGTTCAAGGCTGGAGGATGAGGCCCAGCGCTCGGCTACATGATGCGGCTCGAACGCCCGTCGGCCGAGCTGGCTTGCTCGCCCTGTGCGGCCGGCTGCACTCAGGCTCGGCAGCAGAATCGGGCCAGAGGCCTCGGGGCACCGGGGGCTTGAAGCCCACAAGTGAGTCAGGAGGGGGACAAAAACATGCAGACACAATTCATCGTCGATTCCCCAGAAAATATGGGAAACTATGGGAAGTTGGGGGGAAGACAAAAACCCAGAAAATATAGGAACATATGGGGAACCCTGTCACGTGTGTCTATTTATTTGTGTGTCCCAGGGCCCCTTCAGTGAGTTCTGCCCCCCTTCGGGGTCTTGGCAGCCGAAAACTCCTTGACGAACTGGGAGGCGGCTCCGTTGCTCACGGGCACCCGAGGATCCTGGTTGAGACCTCCCAAGTGGGGTACGGGTGGGCGGGGTCGAAGGATGGCGCCGCGTCGCCAATGTCTCGCCGATGCATCGGCGGCGCCGGCATGCTGCGGCGACTTCAGTGTGGGGGGAAGATCGGGCGTCTCTCACCACGCGCGTTCCACTGCTCGCAAAGTGCTGACTCGCAAACGATCGAGAAACGCATGTCTTCCTTTGCGTGATGGATCATAAATCCCTCGCGGCGGATCCAGGCCATTTGCGACTAGTTTCTTTGCGAGTAGTGGAACGCGCTAGTCCATTCTCATCGAGCCTCATCGCCAATGCATCGGGGACGCGGCGCGATCCTCCGACCCCATCAGCTCGGGCCCCGTTCGGGAGGCCTGGACTTTTGGACCGGCGGGCCCTCCCGCCGCCGGGGCGCAGCCGGGACGAGAGGGAGGGAGCGCGAGGCAGGGCTCGAGGAAGTCCGCGGCTCGGTCGGTTCGGCTCCGTCGCTGGCGGCTGCGTCCTGTCGGTCCTGGCTCGTTCGGCCGTCTTGCCTGGCATCGTCAGGGGACCTCGTCTGCACCCAGAGCTGGTGTCTCCTCCTGTGCCCGACGCCGGCTCGGTGCGGACTCGGCGCGGAGTTGGCGCGGATGCGACGCGGGCGCGGCGCGGATCCGACGCGGACTCGACGATGCCGACATGGATTCGGCACGGATTTGGCGGGCTCGGCGCGGATAGGGGCGCGGGTGCGGCGGGCTCGGGTCGTGGAGAGCCGCCAGTGGCCAGGAGCCAGCAGACATCAAACGGTCTGCGCTGACAATCGGCGTCAAGTCGGGCACGTCCCTCGACGGGAGAGAAAGTCAAACATAGTCAAAAAATAGCCAGGGGAGGATTTTGTGAGTGGGTATTGTTTGAATGCTGTTTTACGTTTCGTTCAAAGTCCGCCTTTAGGGGGACACGCCCGACCTAAAACTAGCGTTGTGTCCTCGATTTCGGCCTCTTGGGGCCCGTTAGCAGACGTGGATCAGGGGCGCGAAAGTACATTGCGGAAGGGGCCGGGAAATCTGAGGTCGCGGGTTGAAGCATCATATCGGAGGTTGTTTGGTTCAGTGGCTGCTGAAAACTATTGGTAGTTTTTTCTATAATAAGTAATACCAGTAGTAGTTGTTGTATTCGCCTTATTGTTCTCATTACTTTACTACTACTGTTGTTGTTTGTATTAATGTGATTCGTATTACTATTGTAATTCCAGTGTTTTGATCGCACTCGTCATTATTACGGTTACGGTCATATCTATACGAATTATAATTACATATATATATATACATATATATGTACAATATATATATATATATATATATATGTACATTGTTTGCAGCACCCGTTTCAAGCGTCGTTTCTGTGATAGTTTTCTCATCCCGTTTCATAGTCGTTTGAAAGTGTGTCTCGCAACGCTGTGCTTGCATGGGCGTCTTCTTGCAACATATAGCAAAACTGCAGGAGCCGGCAGGAGGAACTGCAGAAGGGCCTCACAGGTGGGTAAACAACATTCCCTTCACCTTCGCAGGATTTTTTATAACATCTTCCTCATATCTACCTCCCCCAAGCCAGCGATCGAAGCTGCTCGTTTGGGACTGCTTTCACTATGTTCGCATTGCGTTTTCAAAGCGTTTGCGACAAACATTTCCACATCCTCCCTCTGTATCGGCGCAATCCTCCATTTCTGTTCCTTGCTGCCGTTGCGTCCTTCCTCATATAATGCAATCGGCAACATACACACATAGTTATATACATCGATATAGGGATGTGCATATAGTTTTGTCTGTATGCATGCACAGACGCATCGACACTCGTGTTTTGTGATTGGCAGGAGTGCGCTTGCGTACCGTTTTCATCTAGAGGCCCAATCGTTTTTTATTGGCTCGCAGGTGTTCGCCGCGAGGCGTTTATACAAGTTTTGCGGCCCTGATCTTGCTAACATAGTTTTGTGCTCGACGCTGTCGACTGACAAGACGGATGAGATGCTCGGGTTCGTTTTTGGAGGAAGGGGTTTTGAAGGAAACGGGTCCTGGGTTGTTCGTAATTTGTGTCCTTGCGGGCCCTGCACGGGCCCTTGGACCGTCAGACAACGACTGAGGAGGGAAAGCTTGTCCTGGGGAAAGATCCTGGGCTCGTTGGCCCGTTCCTTCAGGGCCGGCTTGTTTCATGCCAGATCATCGGGAAGCCGTGATCCTTTCAGCTTGAATTCTCTTTCTCTCTCTCTCTCTTTCACTCACGCGGTATCAGAAACCAGCGCCGAAGCCGTCACGACACGAGCTTGTTGCAACGGGGTCAACGCTAACGAGGGTCTGCCAATCCCCTCCGACATCCTCTGGCTGGCCCGGGGCCCGCGTGGGGCGACCCCGTCTGGGCGCCGCGCGTTCTGCACCCTGGGCGCGCTCACCCGGCTTCAGTCCTTGGGGCCCATCCCCCGCATTGCTCTTGCTAGAGAGACGTCGCGGAGCGAAGTTGTGTGGGTCTCCGCGTATCGAGGAGGAGGAGGAGGAGGAGGAGGAGGAGGAGGAGGAGGAAAAGGAGGAGGAGGAGGAGGAGGAGGAGGAAGAGGAGGAGGAGGAGGAGGAGGAGGAGGAAGGATGGGAGGAGGAGAGGGATGGGGGGGGAGGAGGAGGCGGAGGAAGAGGAGGCGGGAGGAGGAGGAGGAGGAGGAGGGGGAGGAGGAGGAAGATGAGGAGGGAACACCAGTTGCCCCCTGGCTCTCCCCCTGCCGCTGTTGCGAGTCCTTGGTGGACGCCGAGGTGGTGTTCCAGCACGAGATTCGATCTACGCGGTGTCAGAAACCATTTTTGCGCGGGCGCTCAAGGTTGAAGGCCACCTCGTCAGACCAGGAACGTGTGCCAATACTGCTACACTTTTATCGTTGTCGTTTTTGGGGGGATCTCCTAGGGCGACCTTGTGGCCACTGTTGGACTTACCCCGAGATCCTTCAGGACGCACACCAGGAGAAGTCCAGAGAGTACCGGTGTCCTTGTCCATTCTCCGCCCCTTTCCACGAGTAGCCTCGCATTTTGCCGCCTTCTGTGTCGTTGTGCCCGATCATTCGGGCAAGAGGCTTTCATCTCGCAAGGTGCCAAACATGGGGTGCTTAATTTGAAGTTCCTGAGCGTTTGATCGAGTTACCAGGGCCGAGTTTGAGGCGTATCTTCAGAAGTTTCGAGCTACCACGGGCTACCAGGACCCTGTTTAGAGGCCTCTGGAAACAGCGAGGGGCTCTGCGGATCTTTCGTTCGTTCTCTTATTCATTGTTTGCCGATCGGCACAGGCCCTCGCCCCCCCCCCCCCCCCCCGCTTTGTCCCCCCCCATCGACTAGATCTTGCTTGTTTTTGGATGTTGCTGGCGCCTGTTTCGAGCAGGTGGAGCCTCCCCCGCGGGACGGGTTAGTGCAAACAGTCGCATTAAGCAGAGGACCGAGCCAGGCCCCCGCCCCTTCCCCCCTGTCCGCCCACGTGTTCGCCTTCGGGGACTTTCCCGGACTTGTAGGAACTTGTGGAGGTTTCCGGGGACCTGCAGGCGGTCAGACAGATAAGCAGGCGTGTTGTCGCCCTCGTTTGCGCCGTCTTTCGCTGTTTGCTCTGCAGTGCAAGGCAGCGATTGGCCCTGGAAGCCGCATGCATGCAGACTTTGTGTAGCCGCTCCCATTGCCAACAATGGGCCGTCGACATATATGGAGTGGTGATCGTTTTCATGCCACCTTATACGATAGACAAGATGCGCGCTCAAGGTGATCGAGACGGCCCAGCCCAAGCTGAAGTTCGCGCCTGACCTCGTCATCCAGTCAGATCCTCAGCGCGTCTTGATTCGGCCTGCTGAACGACCCAGAGAAGCCCATACTTACACTGTTTGGCCACGCTGTGATCATATTCGAATTTCGTATATGTTCCATTTTGAGATTGGGTTCTGGATATTTCCCATCTCTTGAGATGCGTTGTTTGTTTTTATTTAGACACCTCCGACTCCTCTCACCTCCTCTTCTTCTTCCATACTCAACGTCAGTTGCGTTCAGACTCAGTCGCGTTCCAACCCACTCATATTCGACTCGCTCACGCTCAGGCCTTTTCACATCACGATCTACTCGCACTCAAAATTCGTCACACTCGGACCCGCTCGTATCACTCAGATTCAAAACTACACATCACCACTCAGACTCCCTCGCACTTTGACTCACTAAGACATGTTTGTCAGCATTTACCTCACTCACATTCAGACTCACTAACACTCAGAACTCGCAAGGGAGAGCCGCAAGGGGGTATAGTCAAACTCAGAAGACTCATACTCAGACTCACTAGCACTCAGAGTCACTTGCACTCAGACTCATACGCAGACCGGCTCCCTCAGTCTCGCTCGCATTCGAATTGAAATATGTGAGGATGTCTCATGCGAGACTCCTTTTCCATCACTGCAAGGAGAAAGCTGTCAGGGGCGCTGTCACTTCATGATTGGCGCCCAGATTGTGTGGATGTCTCAGGCGGTGTGCTTGTTTCGGCTTTCCACATTTACTTCCCACCATCCTGTGGTGTTCGGTCCTCGTTTTGAAGAGAGAGCGCCCCGCGTTCACTCCTCCTCCTCCTCCTCCTCCTCCTCCTCCTCTTCCCCCCTCAGCGGTGCCCACATGCATCCGCGCCACCCATTGCGGCACACCCCTCACACGTTTCGTCGCCCCATAGGTGGCGGTGCCAACATGCGTCCGCGCCAGTTCGGCACACCCCTCACACGTTTCGTGGCCCCATAGGGAGCTCCTCAGAAGGCCCCAGTGGCGGTGCCCACATGCGCCCGCGCCGCGCCACACATTTCGGCACACCTTTCACACGCTTCGTGGCCGCATAGGTAGCTCCACCGAAGGCCCCAGTGGCGGTGCCCACATGCGCCCGCGCCACCTATTTCGGCACACCCTTCACACGCTTCGTGGCCGCATAGGTAGCTCCACCGAAGGCCCCACTGGCGGTGCCCACCTGCGTCCGCGCAACACATTTCGGAACACCCCTCACACGTTTAATGGCCGCATAGGTAGCTCCACCGAAGGCCCCACTGGCGGTGCCCACCTGCGTCCGCGCAACACATTTCGGAACACCCCTCACACGTTTAATGGCCGCATAGGGAGCTCCACCGAGGCCCCCGTGGCGGCGCCCACATGCGTCCACGCTAAACATCGGCACAGCCTTCACACGTTTCGTGGTCCCACTGGGAGCTCCACCGAAGGCCCCAGTGGCAGTGCCGACATGCGTCCGCGCCACCCATTTCGGCACCTACCTCATACGTTTCGTTGCCCCATAGAGCTCTACCGAAGGCCCCAGTGGCGCAGTCCGGATACGTCCGCGCCACACATTGCGGCACACCCTTTACACGTTTCGTGGCCCCATAAGGAGCTCCACCGAAGGCCCCAGTGGCGATGCCCACATGCGCCCGCGCCACACATTTCGGCACACCTTTCACACGCTTCGTGGCCGCATAGGGAGCTCCACAGAAGGCCCCAGTGGCGCAGTCCGGATGCGTCCGCGCAACACATTTCGGCACACCCCTCACACGTTTAATGGCCGCATAGGGAGCTCCACCCAATGCCCCAGTGGCCGTGCCCACATGCGTCCGCGCCACCCATTTCGCCCACACCTCACATGTTGCGTGGCCCCATGAGGAGCTCCACCGAAGGCCCCCGTGGCGGCGCCCACATGCGTCCACACCAAACATTGAAGGCCACAGTGGCGGTGCCCACATGCGCCCGCGCCCCCCATTTCAGCGCCCCTCACGTGCTTCGTGGCCCCATAGGGAGCTCTACCGAAGGCCCCAGTGGCGGTGCCCACATGCGCCCGTGCCACACATTTCGGCACCTACCCCCACCAGACGCCCAGGTGGGGCAATCTGGATGCGCCCGCGCCACCGATGTCGGCACACCCCTCACACACACGTTGCGTGGCCCCGTAGGGAGCTCCGCCGAAGGCCCCAGTGTCGCAGTCCAGATGCGCCCCCCCGCCCCATTTCGGCATCTTTTTCTTCTTCGTGGTCCCATAGGGAGCTCCATTGCAGTTCCCAGTGGCTATGTCCGCATGCGGCCGCCTCACCCATTTCGGCACACCCCTCACGTGCTTCGTGGCCCCACAGGGAGCTCCACCGATGGCGATACTCACAACGACGGCCAGGCTCTTCGTCGGGCTAATTTTTTGGTGGTCCGATGCTCACCGCGATGCAGCAGGCGTGGCCCCGGGGCACCCCAGGGGGGAACCGCCAGGGATGTTTCCATGTCAGCATTGGCGCCCAGATTGTGTGAATGTCTCAGGCGGTTTGTTTGTTTCGTTCCCCCAGGCTTTTTCTTTTCTGGTGGCACAGTGCTCACCCCGACATGGCTGGTGTTGCGCTCAGGCTCTTCAAAGGCGAGCCGCCAGGCGTGTTTATACTTGATGCTTCGCGCCCAGATTGTGGGGATGGGTCAGGAGCTTTGCGCGTTTTGGCCCCCATACATTTCTCTGCTGGTGGCGGTGGCCCAATGCTCTCCGCGAAGCAGAGGTGACACTTGGGTACCCCTACGGGCGAGCTGCCATGGCTTTTTATCACTTCATCATTTTGCGCCCTGATGGTGTGGATCTCTCGAGCGGTGTGCCTCTTTGGTGGCCCTGACTCTGTTGCTTTCAGTGCGGATTGTGAGGGTCTCTCGAGCGAGGCGATGGTTTCAGAACTCCCAAGGGGGAGCCGCCAGGAGGGATAATGGAGAGTTCCTGGAGGGTTCTCATCTTCCTCATGTTCTTCCTTCTCTTTCTCATATCCCTGCTCCCTCCTCCGTCCCGTTCTCCTCCTCTTCCTTCTCCTCCACATCTTCATCATTTCCCTCTTCTTCTGCCCCTCCTCATCCTCCCCTTCGACGCTCATCTCCTCTCTTTGCTCCTCCACCTATTTCTTGTCACCTTCTCTTGTTATCCCTCTCGTCCTCGAGACCACAACGAGGGGGACGAGGGATGGAGGAGGGAGGAGGTGGGAGGAGGAGGAGCGTGGAGGGAGGCGGGAAAGGGGAGGAAGAGGGGGAGGACGGCGGGAGGAGGCGTGTGCTTCGGGAGGCCCGCCTGCGACCGCGGCGCTCGCGGATGGGGGGGGGGACGCGACGGGCAGCTCGCGGAGGCCCACGCACACACGCGTGTACGCTTCGGCCAAGACCACCACCGGCGACAACGAGTCCCGAACGCCTGGCATCGCTCGGACGTGTGCATTTTTTTCTCGGCGAGGACCATCGAGGAGCATCCTTGATCATTTGGCGAAAAACCCACGCACGAAACCGAAAAAAACAAAAAATGGACGTCCGAGCGATGGCGAGAACGACGTTGCTCACACAGGGCCGCGCTCGCGCCAACGCCAGGTCAGGACACCGCGTGGGTGTGGTTCCATCCTGCACCTCGACAGCGGCAGCACATCGCCGGGTGGTCGCATCACACTGCACACGCCCGCGAGGGCCCCGTCGAGCGCTCCCAGCTGTGCATCCGCATCAGGCACGTGGCGGCCCACCGAGAGCGCGGTCTGCGGACACCTCGTCACCGCTCTTCGCGACGCTAGTCCTCAACGATCTGTGCCGCCCAATCCTTGAGGCGATTTCACCCACGCAGCGCTACACCCGCGGAACTGCGCGCCTCGACGGCGGCAACGTACCACGTGGCCGTCGTATCACGCTGTGCGCGTCCACGAAGGCCCCTGCTGCCGTTCCACTTCGTGCGTTCGCAGCAGGCGCGTGGCTTCCCACCGAGGGGCCGACGGTCGTCCTCAGACGTCGACGGCGACGTGAGCCGCTCTGCTTGCCGAGGAGTGCGGGCGAAGTCTGCCGGAAGAAGGGTGGCGGCCCGCGCCTCCTGTGGCCCATAGTGCCGAGTGCGGACGGCCCTGGTGGAGCTGACTCGGGGGAGCAGCCCCACGATCGACCCCGTTCCCGCAGCGCGAGCGGCCCCCGGGCAGCCGGCCCGATGCCCAGTGCGGACGGCCTTTTTGTTCCAGCTCCCCTTCGCGCCCAGCCACGCCCGGTGCGATGCCAAGTGGAGGACAGCCGCCCGACTGAATTATCGGCCCGATGGTATTGTCTGCTTCGTTGAACCCGCGTAACGTCCGTGACGGGGTTGTCGCCCCCCTCCTCCTCTCCCCCAGTCGCGGTGCAGGACGTACAGGGAGGGGGGGGGGGGCAGCTCCCCAGCAGCTACGGCGCCGTGCTCACGGGCATGGGGTGGTGCTGACAGGCATCCAGGTGGCCTGCAGACGCCTCGAGAGGCGGCCGTCGTCGTCGTCGTCGTCGTTTCCAGGGGCCCCCAAGGGCCTCCAGGCGTCTTCAGAGGCCTCCGAGATTTTTCGATGCCTCCGTAGACCTCTGGAAACCTTCCGAGGCGGGCGTCGTCGTCGTTCTCGTCGTCGTCGTCGTCGTTTCCGAGGGCTTCGAAGGGTCTTCAAACGCCTCAAGACGCTTTTGGAAACCTCCTCAAACCTGTGGAAAATTCTGGAGATCTTAAGTGGCGGCATTCGTCGTCGTCGTCCTTGTCGTCTTCGTCCTCGTCCTCGTTGTCCTAGTACTCGTCCTCGTCGTCGTCGTCGTTAACGTCGCCGTTGTCGTCGTCGTCGTCGTCGTCGTCGTCGTGGTCCTCGTGGTCGTGGTCCTCGTGGCCGTCGTTGTCGTTCTCGTCGTCGTCATCGTCCCCGCCCTCGTCCTCTTCGTCGTCCTCGTCGTTCCCGGGGGCTTTGGAAGGCCCACAGACGCTTCCAGAGGCTTCCGGTGACATCTTGAGGCCTCCAGAGACTTCCAGAAACCTGAGCGGTGGCGACCGTCGTCGTCGTCGTCGTCGTCGTCGTCGTCGTCGTCGTCGTCGTTGTCGTTGTCGTCGTCGTCGTTTCCGCGGGCCTCGAAGGGCCCCCTCGCCTCCACAGGCTTCCAGAGGCCTCTGGAGATCTTCAGAGGCGGCCGTCCTCGCCGTCCTCATCGTCGTCGTCGCCCTCGTCGTCGTCCTCGCCGTCGTCCTTGCCGTCATCGTCGTCGTCTTCGCCCTCGTCGTCGTCGCTGTTGTTGTTGATGATGGTGATGTTGTTGTAGTTGTTGTTGTTGTTGTTGTTGCTGTTGTTGTTGTTGGTGTTGTTATTGTTGTTGTTGTTGTTGTTGAACATTATTACTTCTAAAGAATAATTATTGTTGGGACCCCTGGTGCACGACCCCCCCGCCGCGCCTAGGCCGCAGCCTCATTTTCATCATTTTCGTGAGGAAGTCTCAGGCAAAACGGGGGAGTCCGGATCCGGTTGTGTTGTTACGATCGGTTTTCCCTTGCAAAAAATAAGCTAAAGTGGACATTTCTTGTTCTAACATAACCAAACTTCAAGAATCCCTTGCAAAAAATAAGGTAAAGTGGACATTCGCGCGCGCAAGACGAAATCCTTCCAAAACCTTAGTTTTCGTAGCGATTTTAACATAAAAACATCAAAAAACAATGGTTTTTCAAAAAAAAATGTCAAAAATTTCATCCCGCGCGCTCTTGCGGATTCGTAGGAAACCCAACACTTTTTAAACATTTCTGTCAAACGGGCTTTTGCGAGCAACTTTTTCGAACTTCTGCAACAACGGTTGCGCACCTGCCAGGGCCATCATCCCTGTCAAATAATACCATGCGGGACACATTCGTTTTTTCTTCGCGCGCGCACGCCGTCGTCGTCGGCCGCGGGGCCCTGAATAGTAGCCACGGTCGTCCGCATGCCACGAAGTGAAGTGTCCGAACGTCATAGGGCGGGAAGCTGGGTGTGGGTGGTGGCGAAGAGTCGTTTGGAAATTTGGTAGAGCTTGAACCGGCCCCCCCACAAAGTGGGGGTATTGCCCGCCTCCTATGAAAACCCTGGCACTGGTGAGAACGGAGTGTCCCCACGTGCTAGTAATTGTTGTTGTTGTTGTTGAACATTATTAATTCTAAAGAATAATTATTGTTGGGCCCCCTGGTGCACGCCCCCCCTGCGCCGCCTAGGCCGCAGCTACATTTTCATCATTTTCGTGAGGAAGCCTCAGGTAATACGATGTGATCAAGATCCGGTTGTTTTGTTGTAATCCGTTTTCCCTTGCAAAAAACACTATAAAATGACATTTCTTGTTCTAATATAATCAAATTTCAAGAATCCCTTGCAAAAAATAAGGTAAAGTGGACATTCGCGCGCGCAAGACGAAATCCTTCCAAAAGCTTAGTGTTCGGAGCGATTTTAACATAAAAACATCAAAAAACCAATGGTTTTTCAACAAAAAAATGTCAAAATCTCATCCCGCGCGCTCTTGCGGATTCGTAGGAAACCCAACACTTTTTAAACATTTCTGTCAAACGGGCTTTTGCGAGCAACTTTTTCGAACTTCTGCGACAACGGTTGCGCACCTGCCAGGGCCATCATCCCTGTCAAATAATACCATGCGGGACACATTCGTTTTTTCTTCGCGCGCGCACGCCGTCGTCGTCGGCCGCGGGGCCCTGAATAGTAGCCACGGTCGTCCGCATGCCACGAAGTGAAGTGTCCGAACGTCATAGGGCGGGAAGCTGGGTGTGGGTGGTGGCGAAGAGTCGTTTGGAAATTTGGTAGAGCTTGAACCGGCCCCCCCACAAAGTGGGGGTATTGGCTGGCGTCGCATGAAAACCCTGGCACTGGTGAGAACACTGAGCGTTCGGGTAAAGTGATTGTTGTTGTTGTTGTTGTTGTCGTCGTAGTCGTGTTCCCCGTCCTCGTCGTCCTCCTCGTCGTCTTCGTTTCCGAGGGTTCCGAAGGGCCTGCAGACGCTTCCGGAGACATCTGGAGGGCTCCACAGATTTCCAGAGGCGGCCGTCGTCGTAATTGTCGTCGTCGTCCGTGTCCTCGTCTTCGTCGTCGTCGTCGTTGTCGCTTTCGGTGTCGTTGTCGTCGTCATCATCGTCGTCCCCGTCCCCGTCCTTGGCCTCGTCTTCGTTCTAGTCTTCGTCCTCGTCCTCGTAATCGCAGTCGTCCGGCGCCCAGGCCCCTCGGACCCCCTGTCTGCAGGGCCGGCTTCCCTTCCCAGGGCTTTGGCGAGGGCCCCGAGGAGGCCGAAACCGTTGACAAAAACATCCGCCTAGATCGTTTCAATACGGCGGAAGTCTGCGCCCCTCTCCTCTTCTGTCTTCGTATGCTGCACCTTCGGGGGGAGTTTGGCCCGTCCTTTCACGGCCGCCTTTTCCTGCCTCCGACGCGGATTCGACGCGATCAATTCGACGTGGATTCGACGCAGATGCGGCGCGACGGGACAGCATTGAAAGCATAGAAGGTCGCATATAAACATAAAAGTTCGGACCTCCGCGCAGAATTCTCGGATCGTCGCTGGAGCCGCTCCTCCTCCTCCTCCACCTCCTTCTCGACCTCCTCCTCCTCCTCCTCCTCCTCCTCCTCGCCCTCCTCCTCCTCCTCGTCCTCCTCCTCCTCCCTCCGCCTCCTCCTCCTCCTCCTCCTCCTCCTCCTCCTCCTCGTGGAGGCGCGCGGTGCGTGCCAGGGGGCGGCGCCGGCGCCGCCGGGAGGGTCCAGCGCCGAGCTGCGAGAGCCGCGCGGCGCTCCGGCAGGTTCTGCGTACAGTGGCGGCCCATGCCAGGAAACACCCTGCTTCGATGCTCGTTTTGGGGACCTTCCTGGGGTCCACCTAATGGATCTGTTCGACTCAGGTTCGACTCAAGTTCGACTCAGGCTCGACACAGATTCGACTCAGGTTCTACTCAGGTTCGACTCAGCTTCGACTCAGGTTCTACTCAGGTTCGACGCAGCTTCGACGCACGAGTGGAGCGAGTGGCTCCAGGAAGGTCCCCAGAATGAGCATCTAACCCTGCTTGCCTCCAGGGCGCCCTGAGTTTCTTGGGGGTCTCGATGGTTTTCCCGTGGAGAGCGTGGCGCTCCCACGCGAAACATCCGCTTACGGAAGGTCTCTTGTGGACTCGCCTCCACTGTATGCCGTCCTCTCTGGCTCCAGCCGAGGCCCCCCGCCCGCCGCCCCCGGCCCCGCCCCCCCGCTGGAGACCCCGGGGCCCGCCGGAGAGCCCTGCCGCCCGGCCAGAGGTCGGAGCAGTTCCTCAAGCGCTGGTGCCCGAACCGGCCGAGCAACTCGATCACGCTCATGCGGCTGCTGCCGACGGTGAAGGACACGGCCCCTCCAGGCCAGAGGAGAGAGGCGCTCAGAGTCGGAGCCGGCCGGGGGTCTCGGGTGGCCCAGCACCCTGCTCTGGCCAGCAGGAAGGGGGCCCAGGTTCGAGGTGCTGGGCTCGACAGGGTGTGTTGCCTCTGTCGGCCCCCAGGTTCGTGTGCGGGTCCCGGGGCCGTCAACAACAGATGCGGGGTGAAGAATTCCACCAGTTGGACTCCCAGAGGGGTCTGGGGACCGATTTTGAGCGGATTTGCCGTGATCCCTCCTTCTGGACCGAGTTCCATCCGGTTCAGACCCCCTGGCTGCCTCCAAGCTCAGAGAAGTCGGCACCCACATGTGAATCCTACCCTTGCAGGTTGGAATTTCTGTAGCGCAGGCTGGGGTTCGGAATTCGAAGGATGTCTGCAGCCAAGTGACTCCCAGCGGGGGTGTCCGTTACGCCAGCGTCGAGTCAACCTGCAAGGGTAGGATTCGCAATTGCTACAGAAGGAGGAAAAATTGACAATACCGCGACCCAGGCCTCGTTTTCTACTTTGTGGTTCTCCTGAGAGGCTCGACCACGCGCAGAGGGTGGTAGGGGGAGAGCGGAAGGCTCCTTAGAAGGAGGCTGTTTCTTAGAAGGCATCGGCCTTGTCTATAGATGTAGGTCCGGCGCCTTCTGAAAATCCGCCCCCTCCTCTTAAGAAGCCGTCCCCCCTTCCCCTACCCCCTTGTGCGCGCCGCCAAGAGTCCCTCGTCGCCGCAGCTGGCTGGACTGAGGGGCAGCGTTAAGGGAGGATGGGCTCGGAGGAGATTCCCTGAGGAGATCGCATCGATCTCCAATCACCGATTCAGAGATGGTAATTAGGGGCACGATGGCCCACGCCGCCCAGGAACCTTCGGATCCGCTATCGGGCGCCTATCGCCGATCTGTCGGCGATGTACAGTCGAAACCGATGGTAAGGATGAGCGAATTCCCAGGGGCAACATTGCATCCTTGCCTCTTCGGTCATCTTCGGTCTATCCTTAACCTTTTTCCGATGGCCAGTCCTGCTCGAAAAGCTTCGGCATGGCCGTCCGAGGCCCCTCATCCTTATCGAGCATCGTTGATGTCAGTTCTGATTGTACCCCCAATTCTTCACTCTTCGCGCATCCCCACCTGTTCTTCTTGACGTCGCGCAGCTGCCTGCGTCGCTTGCGATCAGCAAGTATCCCCACCTGTCCATTCAGAAACGTTGTCCATGAGAGCTGACGATGAACGGGGACGAAGATACGCATATAGTGAAACAAAGCGGGCAACCCAGATGAACAGGGAGATTTTTGGGAGCAAGAGGGTGGCCTTCGTGGGTCTTTTCGGGCCATCCCTGGGACCCGCGGGGTGGGGAGGAGGAGGAGGAGGAGGAGGAGGAGGAGGAGGAGGAGGAGGGGGGAGGAGGAGGGAGGAGGAGGAGGAGGAGGAGGAGGAGGAGGAGGGAGGAAGGGAGGAGGAGGAGGAGAGGAGGAGGAGGAGGAGGAGGAGGGGAGGAGGAGAGGAGGAGGAGGAGGAGGAGGAGGAGGAGGAGGAGGAGGAGGAGGAGGAGGAGGAGGAGGAGGAGACGAGGCACACCCCCTCTTGGCGGCCCTCGTGGGACGCTCTTGGGGTGCTCTTGGGCGCTCTCGAGGCCATCCTGGGGGCCCTCCTGGGGGCCCTCCCCCTGGGAGCCGTGAAGGGCGGGGGGGGGCGGGTGCCCTTCGCTGTTCTGAGGGCGCGCCGGGCCTCCCGTGCCCGCGCGCCAGCACTCCCCCCCCACCCAGGAGTTCATGGAGATCAAGGCGCTTCCGGTGGACGAGAGGCGGGCGTTTCTCTCCTCCCGTTTCTCTTGTTGCCCGTGAGAGGAGGCGCAAACGCCGCGCTCCATGGGAGTGTTCGGCCGCCCTGTGGCCTGAATCGCCTGTCCCCTTGTCTTGCCCCTGGGCCTTTCCAGGCCTCGAGTGGCCTGTGCAGAGTCATAGTCAACAGCAGGGACACGACGAAGCGTCCATGTCAGCGCCCACCGCCGCCCCCGTTGCCACGGAGCAAACGGGTCCTGGGGGTCCTGGGGCCGCCATGAAGAGGCCGAGGAGGACGAGCTGGTCCCACGGGGAGGCCCCCGCGACCCGTTTCGCTCATGCCCGTCATTCCCTTCCCCAGAGTGTGCGCAAAAATGCACTCCAGACTGAATCCCAGGCTTGTCTGGAATGCATGGGACCTCGGCTGGATTCTCTCTCACGCGTGCTGCTTGAAGGGGCGAGGATCGAAGTTAAAGAAGCGCTATAAACAAACTTTTGGCACGCCGTCAGGGATGGGGGGGGGGCCAGCGTGGATGCAAGAAATCCGCGCGGAGCGCCAAAAGTTTAGGTTTGTGCCGTTGACCTTCCCAGACGGCCTGGACGTCCCCCGGCTTCTGAGAAGTTTTCTTCTGCCACGTCCCCGAAGAGACACAAAAAACTGTTCGGAAGGCGCGAAGGTTTCTGAGAAGTCCCGCCGCCTTCGGACAGGGCCTTCTCCTTCCCACTTCCCCCCCTCGCTCGCCGCCAGGTTTCACGCCGAGGCTTCTCTTGAGGGCTGCCCGGGCCCGCGGAGGGGCCTGAAAACTCGGGTGCCACTGGGGGGGGGGATAGGCTCTGGGGGGGAAGCATCGGCCTGGAGTCGTGGGCAGTCGGCGATACGTCGCCGCGAGATCGGCGATCGGCCCTCGATGGCGAATCCGCGCGTTCCCGGGCGGGGTAGGATCTATGGTGCCCCCATTGGCGATCTCAGTGCGCGATCGGGGGTCGATGCGTTCCCCCCCTGACGTTGCCCCTCGAAAGCGGCAAAAAGGTATCCAGGACCCATGCTGCTCCTGCCGAGGTGCGGCTCGGACGCGGCGCCGCGGGTCACAGGCCGCGTCCCGTTCCGCACGCTCGGGGCAAGGCTGCCGCACCCGCCCCGACGCGCAGGTGGCAGATGATGGCGCTCTCGGGGGCGGGTTCCTTCGACCCGAAGCTCGACGTGGACCCAGGAACCGCGTCTGAGATCGATTGGGAGGGAGGTGGAGGTGGAGGTGGTCGAGGAGGAGGAGGAGGAGGAGGAGGATGAGGAGACGGAGGCGGAGACGGAGGCGGAGGAGGAGGAGGAGGAGGAGGAGGAGGAGGAGGAGGAGGAGGAGGAGAAGGCCTCCTCCCAAGAGGACGTGGGATGCCGCAGTGGATCAGTACCGACGTACAGACAGCCCGCATAGTAGGGATGAGCGACTTTCCAAGGATACTTTTGCATCCTCCTTCTTCCCTTCGGCACACCTTTGGCCGCTTTCGCCGGCCGCGCCCCGCTCGCAGAGGGTCGGCATGGCTTCCCAAGGCCCCTGCATCCTTACCTCGCATCCTTACTACATGGGTTGGCAGTCGTGGAGAAGACAATAGCGTAGATCTTTCGCCGCGTGTTCGGCCTTTTTCGGGGCCATCGCTGGGCCCCAGGGACGGCAAAGAGTGGCTCGGGACGAGAAGCCGGCTCTGGGGCGTCGGGTCTTGCGGGGACTCCGTATTGAAAAGAACAATGCACCGGATCTTTGAGGGAGGGAGAAGGGATGAGGATGCATTCGCCATTCTGGGGTCGACCCGTTTCTACAATTCCATACGTGTGGGCGTGTGCCCATGGGCGCGTCGGCAGTTGTGCACGACGAGTTCACACGTTCTCTCCAAATCTGCGGCCTTGCCCATAACCCTCACACAATGCAATTGGAGCATTTGATTGTCCTCACTGCACTCTTATCCCCGTACCGAAGGGGTCTGTGAACAATACACGCACAGCAACACCAAACCACGCCTTCCAGGTCATGGACTGGGGGGAGGTGTCGGTCAATCATTTTTTTTCCCATGCCACTTGTAAGGGAGATGTAGACCAGCTTTGGGGAATTCAAGATGGCTTTTCTGGGGCCTCCTCGGACGGGGTCCGCTGGGCTCGTATCATATATCGCAAAGGCATGCTAGTAGTACCGCAGTGTGCTGTTATATCATATTTTTTGAGAATTTCAATGTGGGGTGTCAAGTAAAGTATTATGTTGTCAAGCCGTCGTTTCGTTTATCCCCGTGCGCGGTTCGCGCTTGGTGTGGGTAGGGGCATCTTGTTTGCGCGCCACCTTTTATGGCTGGTTGTTAAGCTACGCTACCCTTTCGCGTTCAGTGCATGGCTCAGTGCCCATCGGGCAATTTTGCAGATTGAATGAGTTGTTGGCTTCGGGACTGTACAAGGAGCCCAACCTGACAGAATGTTAAATGCTGCCGCAGGGAACGGGTCCTCGCGACCTTGGTGTGATCGGCCGGGGTTCCGCAGGCAACCCGACGTACACGCAGTGGGTGCACGACAGCATGACCCTGAACAAGCTCGCCTGTGTCACCGCCGGTAAAGAGTTCACCTGGGGTGCCAACGTGCCCGCCTCCACCGTCGTGGTGACCACTTCGTTCGCGGAGCCCGCCCGTTCCCGGCTTCCAGGGATGAGGGGCAGGACAAGGAGGCATTGGTTGACCAATTGCTTCGTCTCTCGCCCCATCTTTCTTCTCGTCTTTTAGTTGTCGCTGCAATTCCTCTTTTAGTCCCATCTGATCGAGCGTCTCGGTACTCCACTGCGCGCTCAAGGCACGGTGGCGGGATCTGGTCCTCTTCGAGGCCTCTTGGGCCACTATTTCGGGCCTCCCGGAAGCCTCCCGAGGCCGTCCAGGAGGAGTTCCAGGGCGCCCGCAAGGGGACCGTCTCAGGGCATGCCGGAAGCTCCAGTTCCGCTCCGTGTTCGCGAGACCTCGGGGAGAGTTACGCGCCCCCCTCCAATTCCGTGCAGCAGCCATGGCGAGCATGTGCACACCTGGTGCGTCTCGGATGTTCGGAGTCTTCCCTTTTCTCGAGACGAGGTGGGTATGACTAAAATTCAGGCCTCTGGCGAGGCCAGGTGTTGCCGCGTATCGTGTTTGGGGAATCCCTCCCCCCCTAAAAGATAGCCGAGACGTACCCAACCCCTTCCCCTACGCGAGGTGCATCTTTGTATGAACGCTCCATACCAAAGAACACGTCGCCAGGTATGCACGATCAGGGCTGCCCTCATCTCCGCCGTGCCTCCAAGGAGCCCACAAAAGTGGCGACAGTTGCACAGTTCGTAGCCTCCCAAGAAGCTGCGAGGTCTCGGCTGGATCCGCGTGGCCCCCGACTCCGTTGGACCTCCCAGGAGCCCACGAAAGTAGCGACAGTTGTGCAGATCGCAGTCACAGAAGGAGCAGCGCGGTCTCAAGTGGCTGCACGTGGCCCCCGACCCCGCTGGACTTTCCCTAGAGCCCACGAATATCGTGACAGTTGCGCTGTCCGCAGCCCCCCTGGGAGCAGCGAGGTCTCGTCTGGGTGCGCGTGGTCCCCGACTCCGCTGGACCTCTCAGTAGCCGACGAATATGGTGGCAGTTGCGCAGTTCGCACGTTCGCAGCCTCCCAGGGAGCAGGCAGGTCTCGTCTGTGTGCGCGTGGCCCCCGACTCCGCTGGACCTCCCAAGAGCCCACGAAAGTGGCGACAGTCGCGCAGCTCGCAGCCACCCAGGAGTTGCGAGGCCTCGTCTGGGTGCGCGTGGCCCCCGACTCCGCCAGGTTTTCCAGGAGCCCACGAACGTGGCGACGGTTGCGCAGTTCGCAGTCACCCACCGCTGCTCCGCCGTCTCTCCCAAGAGCCTACAGAAAGTGGCGACGGTTGCGCAGTTCGCGGTCGCCCAGGGACCTGCGTTGTCTCGGGTGCTGCGCTTTTCCGCCGTGCCTCCCAGGAGCCCACGAAAGTGGCGACAGATGCACGTTCGCAACGATCTAGGGAGCTGCGAGGTCTCGGGCACTCCGCCACTCCGCCATGACTCCCAGGAGCCCGCGAAAGTGGCGACAGTTGTGCAGATCGCAGTCACCGAGGGAGCTGCGAGGTCTCGGGTGCGCCGCTACTCCGCCGTGCCTCCCAGGAGCCTACAACAGTGTCGACAGTTGCGCAGTTCGCAGCAATCCAGGGAGCTGCGAGGTCTCCGGTACTCCGTTACTCCGCCGTGTCTCCCAGGAGCCCACGAAAGTGGCGACAATGTTGCAGTTGGTAGCCTCCAGTGGAGCTGCGATGTCTCGGGTACTCCGTAACTCAGCCGTTATCCCAGGAGCCCACGACAGTGGCGACGGTTGCGCAGTTCGCAGCCACACAAGGAGCAGCACAGTAGGATCAAGGGTGGAGGGGGGAGGAGAAGAAGAAGGAGGTGTGCGACCGTAGTGCTCTGTTCAAAACGAGAACCCAACACAGGAGGGTCGGGAAACAGACACCGTTGATATGGGTACACTCCTCTCCGGCACCCAAAACGCCTGGGACCTTCGTGAGTTCGGGACCCCTGGTCATCTGAGAGCACTCATACAGAACATTCAATATTCAGAGCCGCCGGACTTGATTCTCTCTGCTCAATGCTTGCGGCATTCTGACAGATCTTATACCAGCTCGCGGCAATGGACGTGGCCAAGGACGTCGCGCATTCGATAAAGGGTAGAGAATAACCGAGAGGTGAAGCAACGAGCATTTTTCCACCACCTCAGGACCCGCGGTCGTAATTCCAGTGTCCTTTTATGACACTTTCCCTGCAATCGTCGATCCCCCTCCCGCTGATTGCCGCCCAGCCGCCTCTGCCGAGCGCTCAAGAATGGCGACAACCCAGCCGCTTCGACCGGGTTGCGAAGGCCTTACGACCGGCGCCGGTTGGGGACGACGACGACGACGAAGACGACGGCGGCCGCGGCTGCGGTGGTGGCGACGACGACGGCCCCCCGTCGCCGAGCGCCCAAGAGTGGCGACAAACCGGCCACATCGATTTGTTCGAGGCGCTGGACGCGTGTCATGTGGGATCCAAGCGGGACCCTGGGGGGAAAAGGACTCTTGAGACGGGCGATGCCGATGCCTCCAGTCCGCTCGGCTTGGCCCGCACGGTCGTCGCGCGTCGCTCTCCCTCGCACTCCGAAGTCTCAGCTGCAAGGCCGCGGTCTCAGAAGTGCCTGTCTTCGGATGCAGTTCCTGAGAGGTCAATTTCTGGCTTGGCCTTGGTCCGAAATCCGGCTTCATCCCGCTGAATTCGGCTTAATCCCGCTTGATCCATTCGAATCCCGATCAAATCCGCGGCCGAATACGGCGCAACAGCCCCCAGCGGGGCTTGACCCTCTCCAACCTCTCCGACGAAGGCCTCCCGGTGGTTGCCTCCTGACCTTTCGCTGGCGACCCCTTAGTCAGGAGGGAAACAAAAAACACAGGCACAATGAATCGTCCCCTCCCAGGGAAATATGGGAAAATATGGGAAGTGGGGGGGAACACCCAAACCCAGAAAGTATTAGAAAATATGGGGAATCCAGGTATTTGTGTGTGTATTTATTTGTGTGTCCCAGGGCCTTTTCACTTAGGCAACGCCGCCGCTCGAGCTCCCGCGACGACGGCGGCCCGCGCCCAAGGAGAACACCTCCGTCGCCGGGATGCTGCAGTACGTGGGGCGCGCGGCCCGCCGCGGTCTCACCACCCACGGGCAGGCCGGCGCCCTGCCCGCCCTCCGCGCAGGGGAGGGGGGGGGGGGGGGGGGGGGGCATGTGGGCCAGATGTGCTGTCAGGAGGGAGAAACAGCACGCAGACACAATAAATCGTCGCTTCCCCAGGAAATATGGGAACATGTGGGAAGTGGGGAGGGACACCAAAACCCAGAACAGATAGGACAATATGGGGAATCCTGTCATTTGCGTGTATTTATTTGTGTGTCCCAGGGCCCCTTCATGTTGAGTGGGAGGATCGGCGGCGAGCGACGGGGGGGGAGTGATCAGAGGAGGAAAGGGCACCCATACCTCCACCCTTTCCTCGTTTTCCCCTTTGTTGGGCCTCCTCGGAGGCCCTCGTCGCCACCGCTGGATTCGCCTCGAAATTCTGGTCAGAACGCACCCCAGGAGAGGTCCAGGGAGTAGCGTAGCGGTATCGGCACCTTCTGGTTTCCCCAAGTGAGAAGGGGCGGTCTTTCTCAGAAGGCTAAGGGTTCCCTCTCAGCTTTGAGGGAAGTTGTCTGAGACGTCCTCGGCGACACAGGAGACTTCTCAGAAGGCGCGAGGGCTTCTGAGAAGTCCCGCCGCCTTCTGAGCAGGCCGTCTCCTTCTCATTCCCCCCTCGCTCGCCGCCAGGAGGGTTCGAGGGAGCGCAGACATGGATTAATCCAGGCCTCCAAGATGGGGTCGGAGCAGATGGGGTCGGATGAGCGCGCCGCATCGCCTATGCATCGGCGATGCGGCTCGAGGTGGAGCCCGATGTTCTCCACGCCGACGTCGCCGATGCACGGCCGACGTCGCCGGTGCATCGCCGATGCATCGCCGATGCATTGGCGATACGGTGCGATCCTCCGACCTCATCTGCTCCGACCCCATCGGGAAGGCCTCTAGCTAAGGCGCGTGGATTAGCGGTGGGTCTCGTTTCCATGCAGAATCGGCGAGGTGCGTGGCCAAATCAGATGGCCTTCCACAGTCCGTGGATCTAGCGGGCACACGGCAGATCCACGGATCCGTAATCCAGGTTAGCGTATGCCCGAGAGAAGGGGGTGGAAGAGGAACAGGAGCAGAAGGGTCAAGTTTGCCAGGTCGAACGAGTCGTCGGCCGCCGCCCATTCCCACCCTCCCTCCAATAGCATCAGAGTCCGCTCTGACTCAACTGGGCATTGGGACTGTAACGCGGCAGGAAGAGGGTAGGGGGAGGAGGAGGAGGAGGAGGAGGAGGAGGAGGAGGAGGAGGAGGAGGAGGAGGAGGAGGAGGGGGAAGAGGGTAGGAGAAGGAGGGACGAAGAGGAGGGACGAGGTGAGAGCAGGAGGAGGAGGAGGAGGAGGAAGAGGAGGAGGAGGAGCAGGACGAACAAGATGAGCAGGTTCAGCAGCAGGGCTTAGGCCCCGCAACCATGCCCTTCCTGAGTACGTGTCCGCTTCCAGCTATGAGGGGGGGGGCTCGAAGTACCAGGCTGATTGCGTCGCCATCGTCGTTGAGAACACGGCATCATCTTCCCTACATCTTCTCCAGCGGCAGAAAACTGCATTCTTAGTCGTCCCGCCCCGCATGTTCTGTCATCATCGCCACCGCACATCCTGCATTGCAGTCGGCTGGCTGGGGCCCTCGCGCAGCTGGCCAGGCCATCTTCGAGCGCGAGGAGGACCTGGACCGGATCTTCGCGAGCCCAGACGGTCTGAGCACCGAGGCGCTCACGATGGAGCGGTATGCCGAGTGGTGCGGCCCCCTGCAGTTCGGGGATCGAAGATCGAGGATCGCAGATCGAGGATCGAACATCGGAGATCGGAGATCGAGGATTGAAAGCCGCCTCTGGAGGCCGTCGGGGACCTTCGGGGACCTCCTGGCCGCCGACGGCCCTGGCGCCGCCCGCTTTGTTTTTTACCTGCGGTGAGGAGCCTCGTGGCAAGAGTGCGGAGCGACGGACGACACGATGACGAAGACCGACAGACGACGACAAAAGCGCGGGGAGGGGAGGGGGGAGGGAGGTGCAAGGGGGGGAAGGGCGTGCGTCACGCGCCCATGGCCCTCAGGGGGCCGTGCCAGCGCGGGGGGCGGCCGCGCGCCTCGCGCCCCCGCAGCCGCCCGGTCAGGTGGCGCCCGGCCGCGCTCGAGCAGCTCGAGCCCGGCGGCGCCCCAGCGCGCCCCGGCTTCGCGGGTCGCGCGCCCCCGCCGCGCGGCCGGAACACCGTCGCCGCGCGGCCGCCGCGCGCCGCTGCTAGAGGGCGTTCGCCGCCTCCCGGAGAACGCCAGCAACGCCGCGGGCCCCAGAGCGGCCGGATCCTCCGTCGCCGCCTCGAGTTGACGCAGAGCCCGGTGCGCTCCCGGGATCGTGCGCCACGCGTCCGCGCGGGCGCGGAGCCCGTGGGCCCCTCGCGAGAGGCCGGCCAAGCCGGATTGTACCCAGAGCGCTGCGGCGGTGCCCGGGGCACCCCCGCTGGCAGCCGAAACCCCGTCGCTGCCAGGCGCACCCGCCGCCGCCTTGCCGCCAGCAGCCGCACCACCGTCGCTGCCAGCCGTCCCCGCAGATCGCGCCGCCTTGCCAGCAGCCGCCCTGGAAGCGCAGCCGCCCGCCGCCGGAGCCGGAGGGCCGCCACCGCCGCCTCCGCGACCGCGGCCGCGCTGGCGGCCGAGTGCCAGCAGCCGGACACCCTGTCGCTGCTGGCGTCCCTGCCTGCCGCTGCCGCGCGCATAGCGGTAGCGGCGTTGCCCGCACGCGGCGGCGTGTCGACCTCGAGGCTGTCGACGGCGTCGGCCCAAGCGCCGCACGGCGTGCGCAGCGCCGAACGCCTGGCCGCTGCCGGCGGCGTGGCCGCCCGCTCTGGCGGCCCGGCGTTGTCGCCCAGCGCCTCGTACTCGTCCTCGATGGGGAAGTCGCCCTTGTCCAGCGCCATCTTTGCCGGGAGGGCCGGCCGGTCCGCAGCGGCGTCGCCGCAGCGGGGGCTCAAAGGCCCTTGCTCTCCACTGGCTCGCGCCAGCGGATGAGAAGCTGGCCCTCCGTGAGGCTCGTCACCACGAAGCCCGCAGGCCCCTGGGGCCCCGCCTGCTGCAGCAGCAGCGCCAGGGTTACCAGCTCCGCTCCGGGCAGCGGCATCCCGCCTCCCGAGCTGGCCATCCGCGCCGCCTCCGGCGGCCCCGCCGTCTCAGCCCCCGCTGCTACCAGAGCTGCTTCGTGCCTTAAGCGCGCGCTGAGCTCCCGGCTCCCCTCCTGAGCCGGCCTCTCCCGCAGGGCGCGCCGCCCGCCTGGGTGGCGTGCGCGGGTTCCACGGAACGACTCCTGGCGTGTCCGCAGCCCGCGAGGCGGCCCTTGCCGCGCTCGCTGGCGTCGCCGCCGCCTGCTCGTCCCCGCTCTCCGTGTAGTAGCTGCCGCTGCTGCCCGCCGCCTGCGGGGCAGCTGGAAACCCGGCGGCTGGAGGAGCCGGCGTGAGAACCGCCCTCGCGGGACCCGGGGGCTCGCGGCTCGCGGCGCCCGGCTCGCTCTGCCCGCCCCGGACGCGAGCGACCCGCCGCGGCGCCCCGCGCGCCCCGCTGCGGCTGGAACGTTGCGGCGCAAGGGCTCCGGCTGCGGTGGGCCCGCCGCCGCCACCGCCTGCTGGGGCTCTCGGAGGCCGGCCTGCCCCGCAGCCGGGCCACCGTCGCTGCCGAGGCCGCTGCACTCCCCTGGCCGCACGGATGGCCACTGCGGGCCGCCGCACCATATGCGCCTGGCTCTGCAGGGGGGAGGCGCCTCCCTCGGGGACGCGATCAGGGGCCGCCGGCGCGGCTGCCGAGCCGCCGCCTGCCCCGCATAGCCCCACTCCCCGGGCGCCAGGGGGGAGTCGAACCGGACGGGGCAAGCCTGCCACCCCCAGCCGGTTGGCAGGGACGGGACCCTGACCTTCCATGGAGGGCTAAAAAATAGCACCAGGACCTCGATATCTGAATTCCTGTCGAGGTTTTAGGCAGCTGCAGATAGGTCTATAGGTCTGGAGGGTTATTTTGTAGCACTCTGGAAGGTCAGGGCTGGCACACCCAGCCGGTTGGCAGGGACGGGAGGCAGACCCACATCCGCCCACCATGCACCTCCGGTGCCACGGCCCGCCCGCGTCGCCCCGCCCACGCCGCGCGCGCTGGGCGGCCTGACGCCCAGCGCCACTTGAGCCAACATGGCTTGAGCCAAAATGGCTACGTACGCCCTGGCGCCTCCCACAAGATGGTTGAACGCCGGCGGCGGCCCGCACTCGGCCGACGTCGATCGTTCCTCGCGGAGTTGGGGGCCAGCGCCAACGTCATCGCGACGTGCACCTGCCGTCGACGTGGTCGAATGATCGGTGCGTCGTATCGCCGATGCACCGGCGATTCGGCGCGATCCGCCGGAGCCCGGTATTTTCGGAGGCAGTTTTTCTCTCGAATGTGGCAGGTTAATTGTTGACGCTTCGCGAATCCCCACCAGCCTCGCGACGGCTTTCGACTGACCTCGCGAGCCTGTTGACCAAAAAGAATCCCCACCAGCCCATCCAGAAACGATGCCCAGAGGAATTGCCTCGATCAGGGAAGTGGGCAGCACACAGAGGAAGCCATTAATTATGCGACATCTTGGGATATCTTGAGCCATCTTGGAGGTCATTTTGGGCTCTCCCAGGCGCTCTTGGAGTCATCTTAATCAGTGCCCCCCCAAGAGGCCAACATGTGGCTAAAACCTTCGTAAAATCAATGATTTGAAATTCTCGCCGAGGCCTCTTGGAGCATCTTGGGTGTCTCTGGAGGGTCTCTTGGGGCCTCTTGGGGGTCTCTTGGGGGCCTCAGGGGGCCTCTTGGGGGCCTCTTGGGGCCATCTCGGGGCCATATTGGGACCTCTTGGGGCGTCCTGGGCGCTTCTTGGGGCCATCTTAGAGGAGATCGATCAAACAAGAGGGGAGCTTCAATTAGGGTCCCCCCTCAGGAGGCCAAAATGGGGCCCAAACCCGTGTAAAACCAATGATTTGTGTTTCCTCGCCGAGGCCGTTTTGGACGCCCTGACACCTCGCGACCCCCCGCCCCTCCAGGTCCAGGGGAGGGGGTAATTAGGGGGAGGGGTAAACCCCTCCCCGAAGGGGAAGAAGGAGGGGTGGACGAGGAAACGCCCTAAACCACCGACGCCCAGAGGGCTGGTGGGATTTGCACGGACGGGGGAGGAGGGAGGGCGTGGCGAAGCCCGAAAGTAAGCCTGGACTTTCAGCAAGCCGGGGACACACTTGCACGCCTCTTCGGCCAAGCGCTGACGTGCAATCACCACGACCTTCCGATCCCAACGTCGCTGGTGCGTCGGCGATGCTGATTGATCCTCCGACCCCGTCTGATCTGGCCTCACCTGGGCGGTCTCCAGGCGAGACCCTTGCTCGGAACTGTCAGCGGCAACACTGGTGGGGAAGAGGGCTCAGGAGAGGAGGTATCAGGAGGAGGAGGAGGAGGAGGAGGAGGAAGAGGAGGAGGAGGAGGAGGAGGAGGAGGTATCAACTCCCAATCGTGCACTCATCGCCGATAAGAGCCTGATAGCCCACCCTGCCCAGGAGCATGTGGGTTCGCTGTCGGGGGCCTACCTCTCGCCGATCCATCGGCGATGTTACGCCAGTCCCGTGTCGACGTTTCCCTCCCTGAGACCCCCTCGTTCATCAGGAGGGAAAAACACATAGACACAGTTAATCGTCGAGTCCCAGGAGCATATGGGAAAATATGGGAAGTGGGGGGGAAGACAAAAACCCAGAACATGTGAGAAACTATGGGGGGGTATGTTTATTTGTGTGTATGTATTTGTGTCCTGGGGTCCCTTGAGTTTACCCTCAATCCCCCACGTCTGGGGCTAGAGCTTACCCTGCCTGCAGGGTTGATGCATTTCGGCGTCATGGCCTGAGGTAATTCTGGAGGGCTCGCCCCTCTGGTGGCCTGCATGGCTGGGTCGACTGGGTCGCATAGCAACTCGGCCCTCTGCCTGGCTGTCTGGATGGATGATTGGCAGCTTGGCTGGCCAGTTGGTAGGACTTGTTGGCAGGCTTGCTGGCTGGTTGGCAGGCTGGCTGAGTGGCTGGCGCGTTCAGGGCGTGGATCCGTCTGTTTTAGCCATGTGGTCATGGCATCGGCAGAGCGGGCCCCGAAGTCTTGCCTACGAGGCATCTTGGCCTCGAAGGTGGCGGGCCCACGCTTTGGTTCCCAGGGATCGTGGCCTTGCAGCCGTGGGACCATAGCCTCCAAGGGACATCTTGGATTGGAGTTCAAGGACTGTTACTTCTTGAGAAGGGCTCGTGGCCTGGAGGGCCCTTTTTGCTATCATAGGTCGTGGCCTCACGAGCGCGGAGCCAATTCTGCTCACAACGATCGTGTCCTCGACGACGCTGACCCAGTGTTTGCCATGTGCCCACCCCGGGCACCTGGGAGCTGATGGAGGATGCCTTCGGGTCAGCCCGATGGCCTCCTGCGAGGAGGGTTGGCGGGTTTACGCCCACGGAGTATTACAGTGTTCGGTTGTATTTGTACAGCTCGTGCCTCATGCCAGGCGCTATTCGGCCGTATGTGGCATCTTGTTTCTCGAACCTCCCTCTCTATCTCTCTTTCTCTATCTCTCTGTCTCTCTCTCTCTCTCTCCTCCTGCTCCTCCTCCTCTCCTCCTCCTCCTCCTCCTCCTCCTCCTCCTCCTCCTCCTCCTCTTCCTTTCTAGCCTGCGCTGGGACGGTGGAGTCCCCTTCCCTTCAACTGGGGAGCTGCCAGTTTTTCATCTTCGGTTTTCATACCTGGAAAGCACGTGGAGCCGCAGCAGAAGGAGGCGTACATATTTCCAAGGGTGCCCTTGCCTCCTTTCCTCTCGTTCCATTCCAGAGGAGCCCTCGGCCATGGGCTGGAGCGTGTTTCTTGTTTGCTTGGGGCATAATGGGCATCATAGCTCCCGCCCTCCCCCCCTCTATCACGTAACGCCCCTCCTCCCCCAATGCGCTCCGGGCACTGCCGCCGTGCGCATCCGGATCTCAATCGGCTTCCGCATAGAAGTCCGCATAGGAGCCTGGTCCGCATTGGGAATCCATGCAGATGCGTATGGGGAGGAGGAGGAGGAAGAGGAGGAGGAGGAGGAGGAGGAGGTGGATGTGGAGGTGGAGGTGGCGGAGGAGGGAGGAGGGAAGAACGTCGCATTCTATTATCAGCACCTTCCTGGCGTGGCGTCTAGTTGTCCGCAGCAGATCCTTAACTACATGCTCGTTCTACCTGTCCTGTGCACGCGGGCACTGTGGTGTACACCAGCGCTGCGTGCACGCGGATGCTGTGTTGTAGACAGGCGCTGTGGTGTGCACAGGCGCTACGGTGCACGAAAGCATTGCGGTGTACACAGGCGCTGTGTTGCACATGGTTGCTGCGGTGTTACACCTTCGCTGTGGTGTACACCGGCGCTGTGGTACACGCAAGCACTGTGGTGTACACCAGCGCTGCGTCGCACACGGCTGTTGCGGTGTACGCAGGCATTGTTGTGTACACGCGTGCTGTGGTGCACGCCAGCATTGTGGTGTACACAGGCGCTTTGGTGTGCACAGGCGCTGCGGTGCACGCAAGCACTGTGGTGTACACAGGCGCTGTGTTGCACATGGTTGCTGCGGTGTTACACATTCGTTGTGGTGTACACCGGCGCTGTGGTGCACGCAAGCACTGTGGTGTACACAGGCGTTGCGTCGCACACGGCTGTTGCGGTGTACGCAGGCACTGTGGTGGACGCGCGCTGGGGTGCACGCGAGCATTGTGGTGTACAGAGGCGCTGTGGGCAGGTCGCCACTTACATGCTGCTCGCGTCGTCGTCGTCGCGCATCGTTGTCGTGCGCGCGGGCGCGGCAGTGGTGCCAGAGCCACACGGCGGGGGGGGGAGGCGTTACATTATACCCCCCCTGGCACCCCCACCTCCCCCATATAGCGCCCACGATCGCCAGAAATAAAGAAACGCGCTCCCGTGGGCTTCCAACTTCTGCTGCTATCTGGGCGTCCAAGGACCCTGCATCCTCATCGCGCGTCCATGTGACCAGGTCGCACCTCATTTTGGTTCGGGGGGGCAACGCAGTTTCGAACATATTCGGTGTGCAGGTTCCTTGTGCGAGCGCAGTCCAGTCTTCGAAGACCCCGCGGGACCGCGTCCGCATCCTACCCGCCTCGGAAGCTCTGAGGCTACGTGCGAGGAGCCAGTGCTCCGAGACCACCGCTGGGGCGGGCGACTCGCGTCGGTGCGATTCTTCGGGCGCGCCGCGGCAAGCCTGCCGAGGTGGCGCACCAACGGCAAGAAGTGGTGATCGGCTGCGAAGACGGCCAGCGGCAGCCGCGGGGAGGAAGCGGGGGATGCGCCAAATTGAATTTCCCTACTCCTTCATTTTCAGGTGCGTATCCAGTGATTCCGACTTGCGGACCTCACCCGGCCGAAGTGGCTTGTGCATGGGGAGTCGAGGCCGAAACACCATGGGCAAGACATTAGGGGCAGCCACCAGAAAGCCAACACGCAGGGGCCCTGACAGTCACTGAAGATCCGAATCCCGCGGGCGGGACCGTTTACATAACCGCCAGAGCCAACAGACGGGCGCATTTCAGGCCAGGACCTTATCTGCAGGACGCTGCTGGCAACCAACACAGAGGCATTTCCGGCCAGGGACCCTGTGAGCGTTATTGCATGGGCATTGGTGAACGAGCCCTTCAGGGCGGGATCTCACGGGCAAGTACGAGAAAACATGCACGTAGGGATTGTCGAGGCTAGGACCCTATGGGCAGCACACAAGCCCACGGACAGCCATTGAAGCCTGGATGGCACGGGGTAGCTCTGGCGGAGACCCCATAAGGAGGCGGGACCCCCAAGGGCGATCACCTGAGTCAACACACAGGCTACTCGGCACAGGACTTTGTGCGCAAAGCCGTGCGATTGGTTGATTTGAGCCGACGCAATGCGCAGAGGGTGGGATTATTTGAGTAGGTCAGTGTACCCATTGGTTTGTCGGTCAAGGCGGATGATCAGCAGCGAGATGAGGTGGAAGAGGAGGAGGAGGGGGAGGGGGAAGAGGAAGCGGAGAAGAATGCCAAGTTGGATCAGGATATGGTGCGTGAGCTTGCGCAGGAGGAGCAGGAGCAGGAAGGCTGTGTATCAAAAGTTCTCCAGGCAGTTTTTGACCGGGAGGAGGACCTTGACCAGATCTTCGCGAGATTTGGCAGTCTTGGCAAAGGCTCCCGCAGAAGAGCACGCGATGCTTTCTTGACGGTCTTGGTTCACAGGTTCACGGGGCGTTTCCGGTTACAGGGCGAAGAGTTATTCCCCAATCTTTCGGCAATGGGCGCCACATTGCCAACCTGAGACACATCGATTTAGAGTCGATGAGCGTCCATGAGCGTCGATTCGCAAGAGCCACAAGGTTGCATGGGAGGTTCCCGTGAGTTGCCGCAGAACGCTTTTAGCATTGCTCAGAAGGCCGTAACATGTGACACCTGTCGTTTCCATTCGCTGAGGGACTTTCTTGGGTGCTACTTGGGCCGTCTTGGGGCTGGTTTGGGCTTATGTGGGGTCTAGTCCTGGGGCTCAAGGGGGCTGGGATCCTGCTCGGCCGTCTTGGCTGGCTGTCGGAGCTCACATTGGACCGTGTTGGGGATGTCCTGGGCCGTCTGGGGATCTTCTGGAGGCTCTCGTGAGGCTTTCGCGACTTCTGTTTGGCTCCTCCGGGCCTCCCTTGGGACCATGTTGAACGGGGAGGCCGAGGATTGCCCAGGAAACGCAAAACAGTTTTTGATTCGCGGGTCGAGAGCGCACCTCTTCCGGTCGAAGCTAAGCGGGCCGCGCGAAGCTTGAATTAACCAGAGATGGGGGGGGGGCGCAGCCTCAGAACGAGGCCGGGAGGAGGAAGGAAACGCAGAACAGTAAAAGCACGCAAGGATCGCCGCAGGTAGTTAGGTAATGTGGGCCTTCGTGGAGGGCCTCCTGGCATTGTTCAGGAGGGCGAAAACACACAGACACAGTCAATCGTCGACTCCCAGGAAAATATGGGGAGATACGGGAAGTGGGGTGGAAGACAAAAACCAAGAACATATGGGAAAATATGGGGAATCCTGTTATTTGTGTGTATTTATTTGTGCGTCCCAGGGCCCCTTCAATTCTCCTTGAGATCTTGTCAGCCTTTTGGGGCCGCTCGGCGCATATTTGGGTCTTTTGTGGAGCTGGTGTGTGCGCCTCTTGAAGCATATTGGCCAATCCTGGTGGCGTGGGTGGGCTTCCTGGGCCGTGTTGGAAGCTTTGCAACGTTTTGAAGAGCCCCATGGACGCGTCAGGGCAACTAGAAACCGTCGGGACGAGGGGGGCGGTGCACGCGGCGAAGCGTGAGGTGAGTGGTGGGCACAGTCAGGCGACCTTTCGCATTCTGCTACGCCTTAACGTGCCAGGTGGTTATGTAGCGGCTGGAACAGCTTGTGGCGTTTGTTGAGAAGCCTGAACGCCTTAGTTGTGTGGGTTCCTCAAGTTGCCGTCGCCAGAGTGCCGTGGCTATACCGGCTCAAGCTCGAGTATGGTGTACTCGAAGTTTCAATTCACTATCGTACATTTCTGTTTCTGTGCGACAGAAAAGCGAGTATTCAAACAGCAATGCGTGTCATTGTGAGCGTGATCGTACAGTTGTTGCTATTGTCTTTCTCGTCAGCTGACAGCCTTTGAGTGGAAGGTACGCTTTGAAGAACCTCTCGTCATGGTCACAGCTTCGCCCGCATTTCATGAGCAGCTTTATCACAAAGTACAAGCAGTGCCATATCTCAAAACTTCAAGCGAGTACGGAGTCAATAATTCCATGCGATGCCATCCGCATTTCTTGATGATTTGCAGCGCCTCCCGGGCGGCGCAAACACCATCCTTTTCTTGGGCGGTTCAACTATGCAACAGAAGTTCTGTGAATCAATCTGCAGTCTCGTGCGTCATTTTCTGGAACATGTGCTTGATAATCCGACAAGCTACGAGGGTGTAATTGGACCTCCGATGGAAGTGAAGCAGTTCGGAGCAGCAGGGGGGAGCACTACGCACATCGAGTAGGAAAGCACGTGACATCCTTCCGAGCTCCCACTCTCGGCAAAGACATAATCGTCGTGCCCCAGCGGCATGGAGTGATCTGTTCGTCGTGTTCCGTGGTTGATGATGATTCTGAATGTGCCAGCAGGTCAGTGATTGAGACGATCGGGAGACAATTCGAGGAGGCGTTCGTATTGTGGCCACTCAGAGCTTCAATGCTGACAGCAAGTTTGTGAGGAGACTCTGCCTCCTGCTCTTGAGTTGTTGCACTTCTCTGGCAGGAGAGCCAAGTCAAGGAGCCTGGTCTTGGAACCCCAGGCGA